AGTTTAGTTTAGATTAAGATTCTTATATTGCATATATCTCTTGATCCGTAAAGAATTAGAATACGAATTATACATGAAATTTACAGTGCTCGACGAAATCTATCCGATAAGATCCATGTTGAATATTTTTTTTTTGAACTTTAAATGCATTTAAATTTTACGGGCAGAAATGAAGAAATGTGTTTTTCGTTTTTCTTTGAAAAATGGTTATCCGTTGTGTTCCTACTGATTATCCAACCGGTTTGGACTGATTATCCATTCTGTTTGTACTTGTTATCCAATCATATTTTTGACATTCACTCTTTAAAAAAAAAGAAAGATAGAAAGAAAAAATGATTGGATAAGCACTGCAAACAATTTGGATAATCAATAGAAAATAATTGGATAATGAGTACAACACGTTGGATAATCAGTACAAAAAAGTTTGACAATCATTTTCATAAAAGTGCAAGGAAAAAAAATACTGGATAACCACCAGAAAGAAGTTGGATAATTAATATGAACACATTGGATATCCAGTTTAAGAAGATGGATAACCAACTTATTTTGAATTAAGAAGTTGGATAATCAATATGAAGTGGATGGATATCTAGTACAAGTGACTTGGATATCCAGCACAAACAAGTTGGATATGCATACAAACCCGTTAGATTACAATTACAAAAGAAGTTGGATAAGCATATAAACCAAATGAATGGATATCTAGTATAAGCGAGTTGAATATCCATTTCAAACAAGTGGGATATCCATTACAAACAAGTTAGATAGACATACAAACCAAATGGATAAGCAGTACAAACAAAATAGATAACCAGTTCAAACTGATTGGATATATAATCAGTATGAACACAATGGATAACCAATTTAGAACAAGTTGGTTATCCATGTTGTAAAACTGGATATCCACCTTTATTCTGACCATCAGAATTAAGTTATTTTTAAGCCCGAAAAAATATTTACTATGGATCTTGTTGGATAGATCTCGACGAGTACTATAAATTTCGTATATAATTCGTTCACAAATTTTTCACGGATTGGGAAATATGCTTGTTGAATGATTATAGATGTTTTTTTTGAAAGAGAGAGAAAAAATGACAGACACTAAACTTACAAAATATAAAAAAATTGATAAAAAAGTAAAATAAGAACTAGAAATGCAAAAAATAGGAGGCATACGGTGCCCCCGAATACACTGGATACAGACTCATGATCATGTTTAATTAGAAGCCGATTTCACATCACTAGTATTGGGCACGACTGTACAATATAGCAAAATTCTAGCCAGGAACACTGGAAATAAGCTTAATAACAACAATGAAGCGTACGTAATTGGTATTTTTTGTTGTTATAGTAAATTAGTAATTTGCCTACCAATCAGCTAGATGCGAGATTACATGAGCAAGACCCAAACGAAAAAGAATATCGAGAGCCACGTCAGAACGATGTTATCGATGTGATTTCACGTAGTCTCCCGTAATTTGCCACGCATTTTCTCTACTTCGCCCTTCAGAAATTTCACCTCATCCTGCACCATGATCCAAGCATTATTACATACTATTACAACCTCGCTTGTATTACCAAATACCAATGATAAAACCAGATATATTTGTTTGCGACAAGGAAGAAATGCTACAACACTCCATATGTTTTCATGAGATACAAAATTTAAAAAAAAAAAAAAGCAATTAGGGAATTTCAAATAATAGCATGCAAAATGAATAGATAGGGGAATATAAGCGACCGCATGCATAAATTTTGCTCCACGTTAGATTCACAAAACATTCTCGGCACTGTCACATCTGGCTTTGACTATAGTTTCGTTATGCTCTGGAGGCACGCCCTGCGATTCCAGTCTCTTCACCTAACCATGGAAAAATCAGGTTACAAACAACATTCTAATCAAGGACACCCTTAAAAATTTAGAATAAACCAGTAGCTAGCTTTGCCACGTACAAGTGCTAAGGGGTTGACGTGGAAGGCTCTGTTGTTGCCTCTGGAATTAACATCATCAGTGTCGAATTGGGTGGACACTAATGATCCTGCTTTGGTTAAATTAAGTCTGGATTTCGGAGCTGAACTAACTAACCAACGACATGTTATATAAGCATAAGCGGTAACCATAACTCCCTAGTTGCAACCAGAAAACTCTCGTGAAGAAAGAGATCTCCGTGCCCTTGGGAGGAAATTAGAAAATAAACAAGGGAAAAAGAAAAATAGAAGAGGGGATGAAGTCGCCCTAAAACGCAAGGGAATCGAATGGAGGACTACGATAATAACTGGCGAGCAAATCTTTCCTAGGTATATATACTTCTGAATTGTATGAAATGTTACAAGGTTTCTTTCTTTCTTTTTTTTTTGTTTTTTTTTTGAAAAAACAAATTTTATATGGGAACAAAATTTTAGAATCTATTCTTTTTTTTTGGTATGAAACACAACTACGTACCTTCTCCAGAACTAATATTTCCCAAAATATCGCTCCGGCTTTGAAATTCCTGATTGTCTCTTCTGCAGCCTCCAGCTTAGATTCCAATTTGCCCCATACTTTTGCTGCATCAGCCTTGAGTATCTTAATCTCATCTAGCATCAAACATAAACAGTATCGCTCCTGCACCATCATAACATGAGATGAGTAATGTGAAAGGAACTTAGAATCAACAGCTCCAAGGGTAGACATTATCAAGGCATGAAGCATAAGAGTTTACTCTGAAAGACAAATTGGAAATACTAAGATTAAAAACTATTTTTCCGTCTTAAGATGATTATCCTATTTGTATTATATTAAGAATAGTACAAAAAGTAAAAAATTATTTCGGGACAGAGAAGTAGTACACTTGTATTTCAAACCTAACAGAACAGTTCAACAATGCACGTGATCTAAGACATCCCAGTACATTGAAAAGTCAGAAGCAATAGTTGCTTGAGATTGTTCCATATTTTGCAACAAGCTAGTTTTGGATCGACGCAAAGGAAAATCAGCCGAGGAGCACAACAAATCACCATACTATGTGAATTACCCAACATCAAGCATCAAATGATACACGTCATGATTCACAACCAGCAACAGCAAGTTCTCTCAGTAAAAATTTGCCAAAATACATACAATGGATTTAATTTGGTCAAGATTTTCTAATGTAACTTCTTCTCTTGTTTGTGGTATCGCACGTTACAGTGTGGCATCCATTAGCTTAATTATTGGTCTTTTGATAAAAAGACCGTACAAGAATCGACACAAATAAAACCTATGAGCCAAACAAAAGTTGTTAACATCCAAAATAAATATAGAGGAGGAATATATTTGGATGCATACCCAAGGCTTGGCATCTGCAGATTGATCAGCATTGTTGAGAGTGTCATTCAGCATTTCCTTGACATGGTTTATTTCCGAGCAATTTTGGAGGACAAACTTTACATCTCGGGCATCGATTGGACCCAGGCGTTGTGATTCCCATTTCTTAGCCTAGTCAATTGAACATCAAACCTTTGTTACAAAGCACTTTCTTTAATTTGGACTCAGTTATGCGGAAAGACGATTAAATACATTCAAATCAACCAGCGTAGTTGCAAATTACAACTAACTACAAATACATTGTATCAAAATACGACGCAAAATAAATTCAGAGGGGAACATATTTGGATGCATACTTTGTGCTCGACGGAGGAGCGAACATTTTCGGCCGGCAATGTCTCTTATGGCTTTGATCAGGGTTAGGTTATTCTTCGGTAGCCTGCGTATGGGATTCCCAACTCTCCACCTAATTAATAACCACGAAAAGGGCTACTACTGACGACAACTTACTGAAGGATATATGTGCGTGTATATATATATATATATATATATATATATATATAGCGTTAAACAGTACAAAAAGGAGCAGAGGAAAATTTCAATTGATAGAAAGAATTGCTAACTAAGGAATATATGTGATACATACCATCATCAAGACAGCATATTGATCACGAGCAGTTTCTCTTATGATTTTGATTATAGCTTCGTTGTGCTCTGGAGGCAGGCACGCCTATCGATTTCAATCTCTTAACCTGATGAATCAACCACAATGATCTATAACCTTAACTGAAATTCACTAAAATTTACATTAGTATCCTTAATTTGTTAGTACAACTTACAAGTGCGCCGGTGTCCAACTCAAGTGCTCGGGTGATTCCGTTTCTGCTGGATTTAACTACCCGAGACATCGATTGGGTCTCCAATCGGGGCACCGCCGAGTTGGGAAACATGATTATTATGTCTGGAATTTGGAAGCCAGCCGCATGGGTTACTGTAACCCCAAGTCACTGCCATTTCTTAATTAGGCATCCGAAATATGCATCACAATCTCAAATCATCCCATTCTTTTTCAGCTATTTTATTTTCAGGTTTCCCCCCCTTTTCGGAAAACGCATGTTATAGTTGTTTCAACTATTATTGTGATCTCGGCTAAAAACCGATCTGACTCGGTATATTATTTTTACTACTGGCTAATTACCTGAGTCCATTCTCCTCTTTTACTCATTTACTGTGATGTCGATTCATAAGTTGTACAAAAAATACTCCCACAAAAATAGTCCACAAAGTAATTAAAAAAAATTGCTTCTTGTTCTTGTTCTTCTTCTATTTTAGAAAAACCTTTTCCTTTAATATTTTGCTAATACTTCGTCCAAGTCCTCTCTGTTTTTGGTTATCAAAGTAAAAAACGAGAGAAGTGTTAAAAGGAAATTACTGTTGTAAGCGTTTATTATTTTGCCTTCCTAATACTTCGTCCTAAAGTCCTAATAGAACGATACTTAGTAATCAACGGTGACAAGTTTTCGGGTTCCACAAGTTTCAACCTAAACATCATATTTCCAACTCCCAGTAATAAATTCCAGTTTTTAATATCTCCTTTCTTTTGCCCTAAAAAATTCTTCTATATATATAAACTTTTTTTTTTTTTTGAAAATTTATATATATAAACTTCATTCCACAGAGAATCCACGGAAAACCCAGAAACATATAACCAACCATGGAAGGCGATTGTGATACTCAAGCGGCTTGGACTCTGCTTCAGTTGAGGAACACCGCAATAGATGCTGAAACTGCCAGACAATTGCGGGTTCAGAGGAGAAAAATCGAGGAAGAAAGAAGAAATCGCAATTTGACTAGGCAAAGACGTGTTTTTGATGGTGGGTTGATTGGGAGACAGACAAAAGATGAAGACCATCACCGTCGTTACAACAACAACAATGTTGGATTGCTTGCCCGGAAAGAAACAGCGGATCGGCGCTTACCCGGGAATAACGATGATCATCAATTGCCGAGGTACCCACCAAGAACGAGCGTAGCCAGAAGCCTAATCCAACAAGGTTGTTGCAGCGAGCCATTCGACAAGGTTTTGATGACTAGTGATCTGAGTAGCCATCTTCAGAAACTGGCATTGAAGAGGGGGAAAGTAACCAAACTGTGGTTGCCAATGTTGGAGCCCGGAGAAGATGTGGTAGCGGGGATTAAGGTTCGTACATATGATTGGTTGGGGAATAGGTTTGACATGACATTCAAGGCTTGGACAGACAAAAGAAATTATGTCTTGACATCTGGGTGGCTTCGTTTGTGTGAGACACACAAGGACACGATGGCAGTCGGTGATCGGGTCGTCATCTGGATGTTCAGAGATACATCCAACCGAATTTGCTTCGCTCTGAGTCTTATCAAGAACAACAATTTGGGACGAGGAGAATGTCGGAAAAGTCTCCCAGAATCAGAATCCAGAAGAGCAGAATGTCGGAGTAATAACATTAGTCCAAATTATTAAGTTAAAAGTACACTTTATTCAATAAATATATGTACTTTGCATTTTTCTTTGAGTCCTCCTCTAGTCTTCTGTCCCCAAAAAAATAGTCTATATTAAGTTTTCAAATTTGTACTAAAATTAGTACAAATCTCACAACTCAATATGAACTATTTTTTGAGACATGGAGAATATTTCTTTTCAACATTGTACTTCATCAGCGGCAAAATTATTATCTAGGTTGAATTTTTATTTTTAATTCAAATTGTATTAAACGGGGAAATTTCAAACTGTTCAATAAATTTGAGACTTAAGGAGTAAATCTCAATTTCTAAGAACCGGGCACCCAAACTAACTAACAACTCACAAATAGTATGACTCAGCGGGATATAAACCGGCAAGAATCAATAATCTACTAATAGAAGGAGTCTCATTTTATTTATTATTATTTTCAATTCTATAGCAAAAGTTTCACTAAGGCTACATCCAATAATTCGACAAGCTCCAGTTATGAGAGCAGCCAGCGTGCAAAGGACAACGCGGTACACCATAAGCATAACAAGAAAAAGTCACTACTTTCATTAAGTTCCTTCAAGGCGTCTTCAGTTTCTCAGTATCGTCCTTTAGTTTCTTAACATCATCTTGCATCTCAGTTAAAAGGTGTTGAGCCTGCACAGAGATCAAAAAAATCTTAGGGAAGGATACCACCAACATTTCACTTTACTTGGCATGTCTTTATTTTATTACGTATAATCCTGAGCACCCAAATTAATGATACATTAATGAGCTAAAAATGTTGGATATAGGAGTATATAACAAGGGAAAAATGTTTTTTTTTTTTGTTTTTTTGTTGGGAGAACCTTAAGACTCTTAGGTTACAACGGAGGGTCAATTCACCACTATCGTCCTCGAACATATATAATCTTAATTACCAACCATTTAATTTACCCGTAGGATATACAAGGGATAGAGAAGAAACAGAAAAATAATTAAAGAAACTAGGAGAGAAGCAAGTGTTCGTTGACACATCTCTTGCTGCTCCAATCCCTTTTTACTTGACCTTAGGCAAGAATAATAAGATCTAAAAAAACACCACAATCATCATAGCCATAGGTATATGTTGCTTAAAAGCCATGTCATCTACTGATAATAAACAAATTACAAATTGCAGTGTGGCTATTTTCTTTTCAAAGTAGAATCAACGGAAGTGTTGGACATCAAGGAACAAGCAATTGAGTCAAATTTAGAAAATCTCAACTAGTAAATTAAAGCAGTAAGTTGAATATATGCCGAAACTTAATGGTGATAAAGGTTTGGCTCTTCATGTGAAGTTGTGAGGTTGTGCAGAGGACACGAGTTCCACATAAAAGATGAAAGCAATATTAACACGGGGTCAATTAATATCTTCATTATGAACTACAAAATTTTAGCATACATGACAAACAAAATAAAAATACAGTAGCACCCAAGTACTTACCAGAGCAATCCAAACTCCAGAATTCGGGTACATCTATTAGTAAGTAAACTTAATTTGGTTTAATTAATATTGGGTTATCCAAATTATTAACTTGGACCATGAAACTTTTTGTTTAAGCTTAAACCCAAGTCCAATAAAGAATTGTCTAAATTAGAAGATGTTAGAAAGTTCTAGAAATATTTTAGATAAATATCAAGAGTATGTAGAATAATCCATAAAAAATATCTAGAAGAAATATCTAGATATTAATAAAGAAAAGTTTAGATATTAGAATAAAATATGTAGATATTTAGAAGGAGTAAAAAAATCTTGAAAGAGTGTAAAACCTTCTATGTACTCCTATAAATAGGAGATAACCCCCTAATATGTGTAAAGAGTTGTGAGAAACTTAGTTTAAAAGCTTAACACACTCCACCTTGTTTGCTTTTACTACAAAGTAGTAAAGCTCCCCTTCTCCTAAATTTTCCTTCTCTTCTATTTTCACTTCCTAAACCTATCACCTAAAACATCTCTTCCTTATAACCTAAAGTGTTCTTTTGCTAACAACATCAACATAGAACTTTCTTTCTGGACTTGGTTTCTTTCATATAAAGTACAACCTCGTGGCACCAATTAAGTTATGATACAATAATTAATGGTCCAAAGATGACCCCAAAAACCGGCAAGTTTTTCCCAAGCAACATTAGCCAAAATATATATAGTACAATTTTCATGTAATTTCTCCAAATTGGAGGCCAATAAGCTTATTCCTGTCATGGGTCATTTGTATCAACGGACATGAATATGATCCAAATTAACCCAACACTATCGTCATTACCAAAAAAAGAAAAGGAAATGAAACTTATGATCCAAACAGAGGAACATAAGCGCGATCGAGCACATAGGAAATGGCAATAAAAATCCAAAAAAAAAAAATTAGAAAAAACAAACGGAGGCGGATTAATTCAGATGCATACTTTCTGGGAATTGAGGACTTCCATTACGGCTTCGGTATGGAAGGGAGGCACGCCACGTGATTCCAACTCCTTTGCCTAGTTGACGACCACCATAAATAACATTGTTACATATATAGAGCTTAATCAAGAGACAATTAAAAACAAATAATTTAAACAGTATTTATTTCAAGTTTTATAAATATAGTACTCCAACTTTCAAGTACTCCGGTGTCGACAGGGAAGGCTTTGTTTTCGCTGGAATCAACGACATTAGACATGGATCGGGTGGAACCGGCGGCTTGGAAGAAATTAAAGTCTTCCTTTGGCTTTGGAGGCTGATCTAGCCAACGTGCGACACGTGGAGAGAGCGTAAGTGGTGGCCATAACTTCCTTACTAGTGATCACTACAACGAAAAAAGTGAGCTCTGGTACAGAGGAATTGATAGGAATTGATAAAGAAACAATACAACAAAAATAGGCTATTAATACCTTTATGGTGGAACACTTTTCCTAAAATGTGTCTTATTATGTGTATTAGGATATTTGCTAAAAAGTGTCTTATTGAAAATGAAAAAGTGTATTCATATTATGAAACATTATCTTAAGTGTACTATTTGGGGTTACTTATGAACTATTACCTTACTTAATGGGTCACTTTAAAGTGTGTTAATGAGTGACAATCTAATAATACATTTTCAAATGTTTTATAACTTATTGTGACTCGATTATATGAAACACTATTTAGTAGTGTCCCACGCAATTTGAGGCACATGTGTCCTATTATATCACTTATTGAGATACAAAAAAGTGTCTAAACTACTCATTTTTGTTGTAGTGAAATAAAGAGGGATCGATGGAGTCCTTCCCCGGGGAGTCGAACAAATAATAATACTCCCTCCATTCCAAAATAAGTGTCGTCCTACATTTTGCACATAGTTTAAGAAACTCTTAAATAAGATAATAAAATTAATTGAATATCTTCAATTAACCCCATTATAAAATTGTCCATCAATAGCATCAACTCTTTTGAGGGTAATTTTGAAAACTTTTGACAAAAAGTGCATTGAAATGTGAGAACGACGCTTATTTTGGAATTTCTCCAATTTGCTAATACGATACTTATTTTGAAATGGAGGGAGTAATACTGATAGGATTTGCGTCGCTGTTAAAGTGTGAGTTTTTTTATCGGTCACTGTTAGATCTGAGGCGTGATTAGGATTAGAGAAGCGGCCCACAATTAGGGTTTTTTTTTATATTCTGATCGACGAGGTGTTTTTAGATTTTTAGTAGTAATTGATTGTGTGATGTGGTTTTTATTCACTTGAGTTAAATAGGCAGTGATATTGACGAGTTATTTAAGAAAAAATACTGAACTTAGGGGTCGCAATTTGATAGCCGACAGATCAGATGAGTTATTCTTTTCATTTTCATATTTGTAATGTACTGAAAGTGTCAATCTGTCCCATTGGACAGTGATTATTTATTAGTATTTTTTTTTTCTTTCAGTTAACCTCTATTGCTGCAAATCCAGCCCCTAAAAAGTTCTCTATAAACTTCATTCCATAAAGAACCCACGGAAAAACCAGACAAAATATAACCATGGAAGGCGATTGTCATACTCAAGCGGCTAAGACTTGGTTTCGTCTGAGGCAAAAAATTGAGAAAGAAAGAAAAGTTGCAATTAAATTGGACAAGAATTTTGGAACAGAGGGAATAAGTGTTTTTTTATGGTGGGTTGATTGGAAGACAAGTGAAAGAGGTTGATGAAGAAGAACAACAATGTTGGATTTCTTGCCCGGAAAGAACCAGGTGTGTGGCTACCTAGGTTCCCAGTACACAATGGTAGGCGGTGATAGGGCTGGATGTTCATAGATCAATCAAACCGATCGACTTTATTTGCTTTCCAATGGTTAACTCAGCCGGAGAAGAAGTCTCCCAAAATCGGAATCAACAAGAGCAGAATGTTGGAGTAATAACATTAGTCCAAATTTAAGTTAAAAATACACTTTATTCAATGAATTCAAGCAAGTAACCAAGTAGTTTTGCATTCTTTTTTAGCATTTCTTTTCAGACGTTGTAAATCTCAATTTCTAAGAAGCGGGCATCCAACCAACTGAGAGAATCTCAAATATGACTATGCAGGATTAGCAATATATATATAATAACAGCAGCAATAAATAATCTACTAAAAGAAGGGGAAATCTTTGTTCCTGTCAAATTAAAACGGAAAAAATAAAAGAAAAACACTAAAGCTTTACGTTCGGAAAGACAGTCTCATTCTATTAAAACGGAGTATTAATCTTTCCATTCTTTTCTATAGCAAAAGTTTTGCTAAGGTTATTATATTCCATATATTGGTCGAACTTCACTTTGAGAAAGCAAAAACCGTGGCAATGGTCAACCCGGAACACCATAAAAAGTAAAAGGCTCCGCTAAATTCTTTTGATTCCTGCAGTTTCTTAATATCGTCTTGCATCTCAGATAGACGGTGTTGGGCCTGCACAATGATTCAAGCACATCTTAGCGAAGGATGCCCACAAAGATGTCGCTTTGATTTCTGACACATTAATGAGCTAAAAACAATCGAAACAACAATGAAAAACTGCTAAAATCATTCATCTTAATATGACACTGGTTCCACATAAATTTGGTGGAAGCAATATTAATAAGTCATCGTAGAAACATAGAATCAATATCTATGGGTTGTAAGCATTTTTCATTACAAACTACAAAATTTTACCATACATGACAGACAATGTAGCGCAAGTACCAGAGCAATTCAAACTTAAACTTGGGAGTTCGGGGTACATCAACATAGAACTTTGTTTTTGGACTTGGGTTCTTGCATATTAACGTACAAACTTAGGGCACAAAAGCCAAGTCATGATACACGATGATCCAAAACAGGGCCATCATTCCGGAACGAAGAGAGATTATACAAAATTTACATGTAATTTCTCCAAATTAGGGGCCAATAAGCATATTCATGTCATGGGTCACTTGTATTAACGTACATAATATGATCCAAAATCATCATTAAAAAAAAAAAACCTATGATCCACACAGAAGAACATAAGCGCGAGCATATATATGGGAAACGCAATAACAATCAAAATAAAATAAAGTAATTTTTAATTTTGGTACAAACTAAACAAAAAATGAAATATTCACTGACAACAATTTCAGAAAGGAGAATAAAAAGAGGCGGATTAGTTCAGATGCATACTTTCTGGGCATTGAGGACTCCCATTACAGCTTCAGTATGGAATGGAGGCACGCCACGTGATTCCAACTCCTTTGCCTAGTTGATGACGACCATGAATAACATTGTTACATGCATATAGCTTAATCAAGAGACAATTTAAAACAAATAATCAAACAGTATTTTTCTTTTCAAGTTATTACAACTTACAAGTGCTCCGGTGTCGATAGGGAAGGCTTTGTTTTCGCCGGAATTAACGAGATTAGACATGAATCGGGTGGAACCGGCGGCTTGGAAGGAATCAAGTCTTCCTTTGCATTTGGGAGCTGATCTAGCCAACGTGCGACATGTGGCGAGACCGTAAGTGGTAGCCATAACTTCCTCACTGGCCACTGCAACAAACAACTCCGGCGAAAAAAAAAGTGATGAGCCCGATTGGGTGCTTTGCGCAGAAAATGATAAGGGGGGTGGAATTATTTATTGTGCTAGATGCAAAGACTCTAATATTTGTAGCATAGTGAAAGTGTAACTCTTTTTTATTGGTCGCTGATTGATATGGGCGTCATTAGGGTTAGTGAATATGCCCTACTATTCCGACCTCTTATATAGGTTGCCGCGATTTTTTTTCTCTTCTTTAAAAGACCCGGAACTATGTTGGTGCATGTAATTACTTGAGTGAAGAGAGATGAAGTAGTAAAAATTTGTTGTTAACTATTTAGCATCTTTGACGGCACAAGGACCAGACAGTTTGCGATGGCTTAAAACTCTATCGGTGAATGTCAAATCATACTTTGAGCATGATATAATAAGTGTAACTTATGCGTAAAATATAATTATATCTTGATGTAAAGATTAGTCTTTTTTATTGTGACAAAAAAAAGGTGCATAACAATTTATTGCTTAAGACAATAAATGGGCTTTTCCTAGTACATTGTAAGTTAAACAAATCCAACATCACAAAGGAGATACAAATGGCTCAAATGTGATTCAACATAAAAAGTAAATAAATAAATAATCTCACGCAGTAGGAATGAATTTTTTGAGTATATTTCTCCATTCGCAATTTTTGAGCGTAAATATTACCACAGGTAGTATTATAATGTATTTATTTTTACACAAACCAAAATCATGTCAATCGAGAAAGAAAAAAATAGCTTCAAATTAATTAAGTTAAAACTTGAAAACACACTTCATCAGCGGAAGGAACACTGCCAAGCTCCATAGTGGGCAAATAAATGCAATTTTGAAAATTCTTTCAAAATTTTGTGAAACTCAATTTCTGAGAGGTGGGTGATTACCAACACACCCCCACCAACAACCACCCTGATTTCCACCACTTCCACCCCAACCCCAGCCTGCTCCTTGACCACCGCCGCCGCCGCCGCCGCCACCTCCACCACCACCACCTCCTCCTCCTCCACCTCCACCTCCACTTCCACCCCCACCACCACCACCGCCTCCACCTCCACTTCCACCACCCCACCCATGGCCTCCACCACTGCCCCCACCTCCACCTCCACCACCCCCTCCTCCGCCTCCACCCCCACCCCCACCGCTACCTCCTCCTTTTCTATGACCTTTACCGTGCTTCCCTCTCCTTTTTCTCATCCCACCATTACCTCCACCGCTACCGGCACCTCTTCCTCCACCTCCACCTCCTCCACCGCCACCACCTCCTCCACCTCCACCTCCTCCTCCACCGCCACCACCAGCACCACCACCTCCTCCTCCTTTTCCGCTACCGCCATTGTGAACGGCTTGCATGCTCACACTAACAACATCATTTCCTGAAGTAGTTATATTTCTTCCTTGTTGCCCACTAGCGGCATCAACATTTTCCTTGTATATGGAAGCAGAGTTGTCATGGCCAACAGTTTCAGTCTTTCCATGCTGGCCATACAATCCAGAAACAAAGTAAGGGCTCAAAACCGAAGCAATTAGCAACAACAACATTGGACCCAACGGTCCCAACCCCATCCTTTCTCCACGGCTCATAACCCTACTCAAAAAAATCATAAATCAACTTGCTGCTCTACCTCCATTTCTTCTTGGCATCCCCGTCTATATATACATGTCCAAATGGCTGCCAACTTAATGTTTTGAATTTTTAATTCATAGCAATATCGAGCGCCCGTCCCTACTACACAACAAACAGCATTTGACCAACCTATAAGCCCACCATGTAGTCATGGAAACAAGAATAATCTTTGAAGAATTAAGGCTTTGTAAAAGTTATCGGGTGGTGAAAGATAGAAGAAAGCAAAGTGGCATTTCTTGAAGCTTAATTTTGTCCCCACTGCACTCACGATCTTCTTTCTTATCCCATCGCAAATGCCAATAAAATGTAACTGAGTTATGCACCCAAATACGTTTATCAAAAGAAAGAAAAAAAAAACCCCCAAATACGGCCTTACATATTAAAGAAGAATGTCTAATGGATTTTTGTCATTTAGGAATTATTACAAATTAAGAGTCAATGGACCAATTAAATTATTTAAACAGTGTAGAGATATCGGCCTAAAATTTGTCTTAATGAAGAAATAAGCCCAAATTGTTCGTATGAGCACATACCACTTTGTAATTAATATAGAAGAACTGCTTTAATTTTCCATTGATGGGAGATTAGGCAAACGGGGCACCAGAAAGTGGGTGAACCTAATGGGCTTCCATATATTTTGGTATCATTACAACAAAGTTTTTGGTGATAGTGGCTATTGCCTATTGTTATTTCTCGTGCATGCTATTATTCCTTCCCATGTGAGCTGTGACCCAATTTTCCTCATCTTCAAGCATAATCTAAAGTTATAAACTCTCTGTATATTGGGTTCTTTTATCATTTGCTTCTCCCGTTTCTTTTTTTCGTCCTTTTTTTTTCATGTGAGGATTTTTCGGTGCGGTCATGAAGATTTTATTCATATTATTGCACGGGACCAGAACAACAACCGTACAGCATGCCCATGTTGAGTGGTGCACATTTGCAGTGATAATTTGATTTAGCTAATTGATCTTTTGCTATATATCTTGTTCCTCCAAATTCCCCTAATTAGCTCTTTTCTACCCCAACTTGCTCTACATAGTGTGTATACTTTTGTTTTTCGTGGTTACATTGTGTGTATACTTTGATGATGACCTTCCTTCGTGCTTCATTTATTTCGTCATCGTAACATCACATAATTTGCTACATTAATTTTTATCTCTTTTGTATTGTTCAATTCAATGGGCCAAATGTTGCGTCTGTTTTAACTTTTATTATCTGAATAGACATGCTTCCTGTTAAAGGCCATTCGAGCCGAATTTTGGAAGCATTTTGGTTTCGTGTTCAAACTTTGGCAAGGCCCAAACCCAAAGCTCTGTGTGTGTGTGTGTGTTGGGGTTAAATGGGAATTGTAACATTTTTTCTTTTTAAGTTCTAGACCATATTATGCATCTCTTTGTAGTTCGAAATTGTTAATCTGCATGCATGGCACTGAAATACTACCTCTATTTTTCTTATTTGTTGCATTAGAATAAACTCAAAAGTTTTTTTTTTTTTTTAATTTGTGGCGTTCATTTCTAATACAATATTAAATACAATTTTTTCAATTTCACTCTTTATCTCTCGCTAATTTTAATAAGATATCTTGATGACAATTACCTATTCAAATTTTTATAGAGTTTCAATAATATATTTAGTCTCAATTATTATTTCTTTAATAGTTGTGCAAACCCTAAAAGATAGATAAAAATAAATAGAAATAGTATTATATAATAGAGTATTACAATGGAATTAATTGCTTTTCACTTCTTCGTCGTGAAATTACATGCGACCACGATATAATACAATAATGGTTTCTTGTTTTTGCACTTTTCTTTTGTAATTTGTATGTTTAAAAATAATTGTTTCCTAGATAACTAGCCGACTGAATTACTATTATGTTCTTAAGTCGGTTGATTAATAAAATTATCTTGAAAGGTAATTACTCATTAATTAACGATTTAATATTGAAGTTTTACTTGAAATGGTCAAAATTTACTGTCCAACGCGTTTTGGACTTGATCAAGTGTATTTTCCATATGATACAGAGTATGTGACGTATAACAAGTAAACATAATTCTTTCTCATAATTGATCTTCAGATGATCATGATTTACAATTTGTTATAAAGACTGATTGGTGCGTACTAAATTGACAATTTCTATACCAATTACCAAGTAGCCATAAAATTGAAACGCTAAACAACCTTTTGGTAATAGCTTTATCGTTATGTTCGTAAACAGTGAACTGATCGAATGAGTTTATATGATTTTTTTTTTCTGGTGAACGGACAATTGTGTGATCATATTCATAAAAGGATAGTTACGTTGTATTGTTACAAATGCTGCGAGAATATGAAATCTCTACAATATATCACTACTCACCCAGAATTTGCTACGACAGACAATGCGTAAAACGTTTACAATACTATTATCCATCCTAATTCACTCTCTGTACTTAGGTGAATTTTAGTGGAATAAATTCCCCCCAAAATTGACTTGGTGAAAAAAATAAAATAAAATCCAGACCTAGGAAAAAGTCAGGTGTGAATTTGATTCCATGTAAATGTGAGTTTTAACTAGAGTTTCTTCCTATAACTATAGTTTAAGTTAGAGAACACATTATTCTTTCTGCCAAAAAGAAAAAATATATTTTTTGTTGAAAATTAAAAAAAAAAAAACCGGCCGACCAGGTGGTCCACCCATCCCGAGTTAACCCGGGATGGCAGTTAATCTAGTTTTTAGGTCATTAAATTTATGAATAATTTATTATTCGAGTTACATTAAATATTACCAATTTTTGTAGTACAAAAAATAGTTAATCTATTTGCACATATTTATCACAATCTTTGTAGTACAATTATAATTTTTCATTATAAATGTATAATTATTATTTTAACTAAAAATTATCTTGAAAATAATGATTGAAGTAAAATTTATATTTTAATATCAATTCAATTAAATTAACTTAACGAATAATCTTAAAATTATTTTCAAGTAAAAATTAATTACTTGTTTATTTTCAAGTAAATATAAAATCGAGAGTTTAACTACTAAAGTATAAATATTGTCAAATGACTGGGGTAAAATGGTCATTTTTCAAAAATAGTAGCTCCAAATAGTAAAAAGGGTGAATGGAAAAATCCTCCCCCTATATAATTTACAAGTGGAGCCACGCTACCTAGTAGATAAAACAAACCTTGTACATATCCAAAACACAAGTAATTCTCTCCATTGGCCCTCATCAATTGCTCGTATATATATGATTATAGATTTTTATAGTCCCTTCCAATTAATCGATAACTCATTCCATCGATCTCAAAATAATAACTATATCTGTTGAATTATTTTAGTTAAAAAATATGACTTTTATTATAAAATGGAGAAAATATAAACTAATCATGCTGTTCTTTTTAATCCAAAACCTAAGGCTAATGCCGTGGATCCTGTTTGTTGAATATAATTGTACTTTATAGATACCATGTAAGGGAGTAGTACATCTATCCTCTATATTTCAATAAAATGATTGTAGAAATCAAAATCTAGATCTTATTATAATCATGCATTTCGGATGAAGGGAATAATGAAATTCAGTTTTGTACCCATTGCTATGAGAATGAACATTTTGCTAGTCTCTCTCACAAAGCGTTTTGGCGCTTAGGATCTAATTACACTGTTACTCGTACGTTGAGGTCACTCTGACCGTACTTTGAGGTAAGAAGCCATATTTAGTGCAACCCTTATTCTTTTTACCCAACCAATCGCAAATCAAATGACCAATTCAACGACATACTTATTCTTCTTCTTCTTCTTCTTCTTCTTTTTTCACCTTGTTTCCGGATTTTATATAATGTCGGCTAATTTAAGGCGCTTTTTTATTGGATCTTATAATGAGTGGATTACTTACGGGGTTAATTTGGTACTACTTTTGGAGAAAAATTGACGTGAATCTTCTTAACTTTCTCTCCTATCATTTTGGAGTTTGAATAATTTAATGTTTAATGTTTTATTTTTATATAAAAGTCTGGATACTTTTTGCCTGATGGAATCTATTTATTGAAATAAACAAAACGATCCCTTCTATTTATTCGTGATGGAATATTAACCACATGGTTCATATGATATACCGATTCATGGTTCGTTCGGTTAGGAGTTTGCGTGACCGGAAGTCCAAAACTGTTTTTTAGTCCAATGATATTAATGCTTCTGGTATAGGTCAGTAGCGAAGAAGGGATGAAAAAGGCAACTTATCAAATTTCGAATCGAAGAAAAAGTTAGAATTTGGTCACTATAACCTTTCCGCAAATGATCGATCACCCATGCATCCTTTTGGGAGTTGATTTATAGTATATGTCTGTAACAAACAAACAATACAATTATTTATTTTAGAGGGAATGAAATCATAATTTGCACTGTTATTTATAAATTTAGCATGCTTTTTATTTTTATTTTTTTTTAAGTATTATAGGATTTAGATCAAAGATTTCTCAAATTTTAGTGCATAACAACTTTAAACTTATGTCATGCATAAATTCTTTAATTGTGCTAATCAAAGTGTTAAAAGAAAAACATATGGGATCGACATTTTAAAAAAGTTTTATCTCCAGTTCTAGTCAACACCCATAACAATCAAACCAGGAAATTTAAATGGTATTCTTTCCGTCTTTGGCATCAAAATAAATAAATAATCTTGATTTGTCACACATATTTTACAACTGGGTGAATTTGTTGACAAATAATAACGGTCTCTACTAAAGTTTAAACTTCTACATTCAAATCTTTGTCCTCAAAAGTCTCAAGTACACTTGCTAACGGGACTGTGACTTGTTAAAGTTTTTTTCTTTATCACAATATAAGGATAAAGGTAACAAGATATTCATCTCGCTTGTGCCCAGCAGTCATAATCTTGGATTCTGACCGATTAAACTTTTTTTTTTTTTTTTAACTTTTTACTTAATCACGCAACTTGAATGTTCTTGGGACAAATAACTGGGAGTCTGGTTATCCACTAGGTTATCACGAAACTGTTGCATTCACCGAATTGAATTAATATATAGATTTGTGAACTTAATGCATATAATCGTTCACTGTCAATAACCTTGTAGTCCAGCTAAGTCAGTCCCGTGGTAGGTAGAGTTATCTCTCTAATTTTAATATCCATTTCATTCCAGGATAGTTATGTATTTTAGATTTTCACTTTTAGTATAAATGAAATTTGAATTGATAACAGTTTTGAGACAAGAATGATTACGTTAAAACTGTGATAGATTAAGTAAAAAATATGTGAATTAATGAAAATAAGGAGGTGTGGAAAGACACAATTAACTAATCATCCTCCTAGTTATGTCTGCTTATAGATCACACATAATTCATTATTTCATCATTTAATTCATATTTTCAAAGATTCTATCACTCTTTCTTTTCTTTTTTTTTTTTTGGTTGGAAAAAAATAGTTTAAATTATCAATTTTTCACTGTGTTGAGTCTGGTATATAAGTCAGTGGCTCGCTCGGAGAACTCGTGACACGTGAATGGCGTATTTTCTTGTGGTGAATGAATAAATATGATCCAAATATCAAGTCCAACCCAAGATTAATTAGGCTGCAGGAAAATTCAGGCTTCTCAGCAAATATTTTCTTCATTTCACATCTTTTTACATTCGATAGAATAGAGTTCGTTTATCTATATTATGGAAATTGGTCGCTTTTCGATCGAACAAATGTAATCGATCGGCATGCAAACGACTTGGTGATAAAACCCGGCCCCGAAGTATGAACATGGGAAATCAACATATGATAATGTTTGGAGTTTGGACCAGATTTTATTACCGTATCAATTTTGAGTACATAGAATCTTCACTAACGTGCAAATAAAATTATATTCCCTGTCAAAAAAAAAAATCAATATTACGATTAATATGTGAATTATAATGTTTTCTTTTGTACAAAATTAACAAAGTATGATATGCATTATTTTCTTGACAAAGAAATAATGAGTTTTGCAGTGAAATTTTGTAGAAATTTTTTAAGAGAATGAATTATAACAGTTCATACTTATACTCTTTGTTAGGGATTTATGCATTTAAGGGTTAGGGGATGGTTAAAATCCATCCACCTCATTTTTTGTAAATTTTCTTGTTAGATTTTATCTACATGTATCATTATACTCAATCGAATTAATTAATAGAGGTTCAGAACTCAATCATATGTATCCATTCCGTAAAAAATAAAATAAAATATTAAACTGATTCCGCAAGATTGAGACTAATAAACAATACTCAATGCTATTGTGTAGTTCAACCATTACACGTAAAATTTAATTTCTTTAAAAGGGAAAAATGTTTCATTCAACATCACGGCTCTTTCCATATATAGATGGAAGACTAATTATCTCCTTTGCTAGAATGAATTGTTGTTGGTTTGAAAATTCGGCACGATTTGTAACTTGTGGACGATTACCATTTTACCTTTTTATAAAAGATTTTATATATCTATAATAATTTATATATCTATTTAAGTTGTACTTTTTTAGTCTTGAAATAATTGTCCAATTTAAATTTTTATTTTTAGTATAAATTGTACGAAAATAAAAAAAAATTGAAAATTCATTTTCAAATAGAGGGGTATCAAGCTTAATTTCTAGCTAGTTATTAGCTACATATCCCTTGATAGAAATGTCAAAATGCGGTGAATATTATTTAATAATATATTGCATGTTCTTTATGAAGTATAATTAAGGAACAAATTATAATTTCAGGGTTGTCATTGTTTAAAAAGGACATTAAACTACTGAAAAGCAATATGAATTGTGACTAATCTTGTCTTAGATGTTAAGGTTAATCATTTGATTTTTCCGGCGAATAATAACAGCCCACAAAACCAAACAGAATTTTGCGAAGGCTGATGCAAATTCAAACTGGGAAAGGGGAAGAAAACTAATAAAAAAAAAAAAAAAACACACCAAAAGACACACATATTTGAATCTTAAAAGTGGTGAACTGATACTTTCGATAGTTCTTGTGTCTAATCGTGAAAGCGATTTCTGATTAATATCAGAGAGGTTTTGCATCAATTTCTCATCTTTACCGCTCTTTTAAATCATTCGACTGTACCTGGAATTGCTAGGATATCTTCTTTGTTTTAGACATGATATTCCCTTTTTTTTTGTCCTAAAATACATATCACTAGTTATGAAGCACTATAAATGTAAATTGTGGACGATGGATTACCTAACATCAAATATATATTAAAAAAACATCAATTTTAAATCCGAATGACAGAGAATTAGGCTGTTAGCTCTAAAATTTAGGCAGCAACAAAATACACGATTGTGAAGGCGTGTGGAATTCAAATTGAATTAGTATAGCAAATTAAATGGATGGAAACTATAGTGCAATTCCAATCTCATAGTGTAGAAATAAAATTAATTGCAGAGTAAAGCCAGCATGCTTGATGCTAAACAATGATGTGCACACGAGCGTGTTTATTTTTTGCTTTTCTACAACTCGAACAAGAAATTCCACGCTAAAGGACCCAATTTCCCAACAAGTTTTAGTGTATATACGCGTTTCCATGTGATTTTGTGTGTATTGGACTGATATATATGTTTCAGTTATTTGATCATGGGTGTAGGAAAGAATGAGGCAGAAAGAGTCAATCTGTTAGCTGTTCCGCTAGGAATATTTCATTCATATATATATATATATATATATATATAACCTCTAATGCTTGTTTTCAATTCTATATATTTGAAATGTTTTGTTCAGAAAAAAAAAAGGACCAAAGATAATTTTTAATTGAAATTGAAATGTGAGTAATAAAGAATTTTGTTCTTATATATACACGCATGATCGCCTTTATGTCAAGGTACAATCACTCTTTTGTACCGATGGTTTTGTCTTTTTTTTTTTTTTTGTTGGAGTAAAAATTCTACCAAAGTAATGAATTATTACATATAATATATATATATATAGGTGAATCTCCTTTTGCAATTTTTTTCTATGAACTTTGCTTATTTTTCTTACTCTATACAGAGAAAAACCCAATATACGTCGAGCTTTGTCAGTCATAATCATTGAGGACATATTAACGAGAATGCGAAGGAAGTAATGCAGTTTCTCCCTCCTCCGTGAATTAGTAAGTTCAAAGTAACGAATAAGATTTTTAGGACCGTTTATTTTTTCTTTCTTTCTTTCTTTTTTTTTTTTTTAGTTGTATTCCAGAGCTAGCTGGCCAATTTTTAGGACCATGTCCCGAGTACTCTAGGTGGGTTTGGCCTATACATATATATATATATATATATATATATATATATATATTAAAAGGACCATGTCAATTCCTATAGACGTTTACAATGAAGGTTAAATAGCTAAAGGAGACTAAGCTTAGCTACTAATACTACTCAGAAACTGTAGGCTTATTATTATTAATATTCATCAAATACTAATAATAATCTGTATGCAATTTCTCAAATCATATTTACATAGTAGAACGTAGAATAAATTTTGAGTATTCATCTTACTACAGTTGTTGAAAAAAAATTTCATACGTAAAAGAAGGAAAAAATGAAGTGACAAAAAGTGCATAGCTCTTTGCAGTATCTTTACAAATACTGTAAATGTGATTGTTCACATATTAAAGAAACTACTGCACAAAGATAAGTAAAAAAAAATTAATGGTAAATAATTAGTTTAGGTGTCATATCTCGCTTTAGTTCTTAAAAAAATATTTTCTGTGATAGTTTTACATTAACTCAGCATAACACTAGTAAATTAGATAATTGATACGTGTTTAATCACTTATTTAAATAAGTTCAGTTACTATTTGATTAGATTGCTAGCATTACTGAGTAGATATAGTATGAACTAACTTTAAACCAATACAAGCCATATTCAAAGTAATTCACATCGAGTTATAGGAGTATATCTTTTTTTGGAACCAAAATTTTCTCTAAACAAATAGTTTTGCATTGTATTTCAACTCACAAAATTTGCAAAATTATTGATCAAATTTGACTTTTTTTTTTTCTTTTGAAGAAATTAAGGCCATCTCATTTTTGTTACTATATATATACCTCAAAAATTTTACTTTCAGAAAATATGTATTAATTAATTGATGGTAACCATTGACTTCTGTTCAACGTACTGTCTAAAGGATCCAAATAGTCCAAATTAAATTATACGAAAGGAGACTCGTGATGTAATATACTGTAATAATTAATTTAGCTACTCTCTTTCTTTGTACTCAAAAAATAAATCGAAAAAAGAGAGGAAAAAAATTCTTGCAGGTTTCAATGATGATTATTTTTAGTATTTATCATTGAAATCATAATTTTATATCCAAAAAAATTTAGCTAGTGTATCCACAGTATATACCAACACAAGATAATGTCTTATATAAAGGCCCCAGACAGAATCTCATCAAAAGCCAGAGCAAACATATTTCATATTTGCTCCCTCCAAATACACCCACAAAAAAACCCATTTTATATATTTTTATTGCATGGATTTAGTGAGGATGAAGATGACTACTCTTCTGGAAGTCATGGATGCTGAAACCATTATACTCTTCTTCATCGTCCCTTTGTTATTCATATTCCTTCTATCGAGATTCCGACGCAAACACCAACCGCCGGGCCCAAAAGGGTGGCCGTTGATCGGCAACATGGCGATGGTGGACCAGTTAACTCACCGGGGTCTAGCAAAGCTCGCGAAGCAATACGGCGGGATTTTCCGTCTCCGAATGGGCTTTTTAAACATGGTGGCGGTGTCCAGCCCGGATGTAGCCCGCCAAGTCCTTCAGGTTCAGGACAACATCTTCTCCAACCGACCAGCCACCATCGCCATAAGCTACTTAACTTACGACCGGGCCGACATGGCGTTTGCCCACTACGGCCCGTTCTGGCGCCAAATGCGGAAACTCTGCGTCATGAAGCTGTTCAGTCGTAAACGGGCCGAGTCTTGGGATTCGGTGCGTGACGAGGTGGACGGTATGATCCGGACGGTGTCTTCGAACACGGGGTCCGCGGTGAATATCGGGGAGCTGGTGTTCGGACTGACCCGGAATATTATTTACCGGGCCGCATTCGGGTCGTGTTCTCATGAAGGCCAAGACGAATTCATAAAGATTTTGCAGGAATTCTCCAAGTTGTTTGGTGCGTTTAATATTGCGGATTTTATCCCTTGGCTTTCATGGGTCGATCCACAAGGGCTAACGAACCGGCTGGTTAAGGCTCGGGCTTCGCTGGACGGGTTCATTGATTCCATTATCGATGATCACGTGCAGAAAAAGAAGACCATGATGATGAATAAAGGGAATAACTCCATTGATGTCGGTGACAGTGACATGGTGGATGAACTCCTGGCTTTTTACAGCGAGGAAGCCAAAGTTACAGATTCTGATGATTTGCAGAATGCTATTAGACTTACCAGGGACAACATTAAAGCCATCATTATGGTAAGCTTTCATATTACACCAAATCTGCTCTATGAATTTTATTTTTACTGTATATGTTACTGCGCTCTTGTTTGTGTGTGTGTGTGTGTGTTTTTTCATTTTTCGAAAAATGGAGAAATGATAAGGTGCATATGCCAAACTGACGGGAAAAAATGAATTAATTAACTAATTTTTGGTTTGGTAAAAGTTAGAAGAAGCAAGAAATCCCGATGAACTTTTGTGATTTGTCTGTGAGACAATCAACAAATTGACTTCATCCATTTTCATTGGTTTTTTGTAGCTGAATTGCCAACACAAAAAATTAATGTGATAAGGATGGACTTTCTTTCTTTCTTTCTTTCTTTCCCTTCATTTCAAGTAACCTTACCACAGCATCCATCACAAAGTAATTTTAGGAATTGACGCATGTTATTTGGTGGCCCCAAAACTTTCAAATCTTGCTAACACATCAAATGAAATATCACTGTATTTGTAATTAGCTCTCTGCTCTCCAGAGGAATCCAGGTAAAATGAATCGAGTAAATTAATGGTTGCTAGAGCTAGTGGTTTGTTTTCAGTATACGTTGTCATGCACCCACTGATACATAACACCCAGTGAATGTTTATCACTTATTATCCCCACTTTCCCACCTGACGGGATTTCATCATAATTGGCAATTAAGACTTTTAAGTAAAAATAAAATGATATTATCTCTTAGTTTGACAAGGAAGTGGAAAAAGAAACTCTTTGAAACAGGTTAATATAGTTATGTATATACATCTATTCCCTCCGGTACTTATAACTTATTACTCTCTCTTTTCCCAAAATTATTGTCCAGTTTGAGATTTCACTCTTAGTATAATTTAAACTAAAATAAAAACTCAAACTAGACAATAATTATGGGATGGGGGGAGTATAAGTTATTTTGATTTGTCCTAAATTTCATTTAGTATATTATTTTTATTAAAAATAAAGTTTTAAAAATATTTTTCAAATTTATTATTGTGTTTTCAATATTAATAAAATCATTTTAAGATTTTATTTTCTATCATTTTAAGATTTTGTAATTAATACATTTCTTTTTTTTGGTCCAAGTGTACTATATAGTACTCCCTCCGTCCCATAATTATTGTCCAGTTTTACTAAAATGAAAAATTTTATTTTTAGTCAAACTTAATTATATTTTACCTTAAATAACCAGATATACCCCTACATAAGTAATTGTTTGACCACTAAGATTTTATGGATAATGTTTTTTACTAAGGACAAATGTGTAACTTGATCCATAAAAAGTCAAATTGGACAATAATTTTGGGACAAAATTTTTTAGGCAAAGTGGACAATAATTATGGGACGGAGGGAGTATTTGTTTATTGGCAATTTCCTTGACTTCCTATTCTCATTGCAAAGATTTCAAGCTTAAAGAAAAGGTCCCTTTCCACGGATCACAAGAGGTTCTCTTTGGTTAATTACTATGACTTCAAAAAGAAGTCCGCTCATTTCTAATTCACATATTTTGTCCAAAAATATCATTTAATTCCCTTTGGAAAAAAAAAAACACCAAAGCCGTTTTTTCAATAAAATTTTAAAGCCTTAAGCTTAAGGCCCCATATCAAATCAGTGGTAGGTCAGGAAGTTTCCCGTGTTGCAAACACTTAAAAAAAATCAATTACTCCCACAAATTTATTTTTTTTTTAAAAAAAAAATCCCCCATGTGATTTTGAACTTCTCGCGGGTGGTGGGAATATCTGTTTAAAAGCTGTGCATAATGGATATTGAATTATCCCCTTAATTTGTTTTTTATTTTTTTCCCATTCAGGATGTAATGTTTGGTGGGACTGAAACAGTGGCCTCCGCAATCGAGTGGGCCATGGCGGAGCTAATGAAATGCCCATCGGATCTCAAACGGGTACAGCAGGAACTCGCCGACGTAGTCGGGCTCCACCGCAAAGTGGAAGAATCCGATATGGACAAGCTCACCTACTTCAAGTGTTGCCTGAAGGAAGTCCTCCGCCTCCACCCGCCCATCCCTCTCCTCCTCCACGAGACGGCGGAGGACGCCGTGGTGGGCGGGTACTTCGTCCCGAAGAAGTCGCGGGTCATGATAAACGCGTGGGCCATCGGGCGGGACCCGGAATCGTGGGAGGACCCGGACTCGTTCCAGCCGTCGAGGTTTCTGAAACCGGGCGTACCCGATTACAAAGGGAGCAACTTCGAGTTCATACCGTTCGGGTCGGGTCGGAGGTCGTGCCCCGGGATGCAACTAGGGTTGTACGCGCTGGAGATGGCCGTCGCGCACCTACTCCATTGCTTCACATGGGAGTTGCCTGATGGAATGAAACCCAGCGAGCTCGACATGGGTGACGTTTTCGGGCTCACCGCCCCGAAGGCGAAACGGCTCGTGGCCGTCCCGACTCCGCGGTTGCTCTGCCCGCTAGACTGATCAGTAACGTCATCCTCGTCACGATCAAGTTCATGGGTGCAAGCTTTTGGTTCGGGGAAATTCCGAATGAAAATATCAAAAATTTTCTTTTTATTTTTCACACAGTTAGTATATCATACATATATCATATGTATATGTTTGGGAAGCGTAAATTTTTATAATAATGGGGCTTGAAGAAGTCATATAAACTACTAGGATGATTATCATTCAGAAGAAGTTGGGAGGTCAAATTTGCATGTATATATTACATACAGTCGTATCCCGGGAAATGAATATGAATTTCTTTTGTTGCAACCTCTCTTTAAATGATAAACAGATCCTCTTGTTTGTTTTATCATAGTGGAATGAGAACCTCATAATGACGTTTTCCAGTAGCAGCTGATGATGAAATCTTCTCTTGAAAACTACTAGTTTAGATGCAGTAAAGTAAGATTAGTGGCCAGTATTATTGATTGAAATTTGAAACATCACAAACTGATTGTATTCTTCTCGGTTGTAATTGGATTACACATTTGCTAGATTAAACCGTTGTAATAGGATTATCATTTTTTTTTTTTGGTACAATGGAAGGAGGCTTGAAGCATGTTATCATTTTATTATATAGTTTGTTACTACTCCCTCTATTCCAAAATAAGTGCCATCTTACACTTTGCACATAGTTTAAGAAACTCTTAAATAGGTTAATAAAATTACTTCAATATCCTTATCCAACCCCACTACAAAAATGTCCACCAATAGTATTAATTCTTTCGAGGGTAATTTTAGAAACTTTGGACAAAAAATGCATTGAAATGTGAGAACGACACTTATTTTGAAATTTCTCCATTTTGCTAAAACGATACTTATTTTAGAACAGAGGGAGTATTATCTTTTTTATTACCAAGTAAAAAAAGAAAAAATGTTTTGATACAATAAAATATGGATAAAGTCTTTTATAAACTAAATAATAACGGATAATAAATAGATAACACTAATAACATCGTGTTTTAAATATAGTCGTACATCAAGCGGTGGCTCATCCAGACATTGTAACCCTCCGGGACTAGCAGCTGTTAGGGAAGCCAACGAGTCAGTAAAGATAAACAAATTTTGTGGCTTTTTAATGCTACGCGTGGAGGCATAACTCAATACAGAAAAATAGGAGTTCGACTTTTCAAACTGAAGGACCCTTAATAACTGCCGGAAATTTAATGAAACTAGTCGGCGCTGATGACATAGATTTAGTCAAACTTTTAAACTACTAGCGTACGCACATCGCCCGGAATCCAACACGTTTGCATATATTATTACTTCACTATCAAGGTATCTACAATCAACCACATTATCAGTTCAAATTTGTCTTTGAAAATACTATAGTAAACATGACAAACAGAACTCCCCGGAAAAGAATGCATCAAGTTAGCTAACCCACATATTTACGTGTCGCCATGGTCTTACACTCTTATTAGTTCTTACTTTGGCGGCGTGGAAGCTTTGACACCCGTATAATTTGATCACTGATTCATTGACTAATATATTATAGTAATAATCACAAACTCCATCAAAAGTCTTTGTCTCGCTGTGTATGAGGTCAGGTCCCTTATACTCCCTTTGTCCCATAATTATTGTCTTGTTTGACTAAAATGAATGATTTTATCTTTAGTTAAAGTTAACTATATTTTGGCTAAATAACCGAATATACCCCTGCATAAGCACCCAAATTCAAAACCAACCCCAATTCATTCTTCTTCTTCATCGGATATACCCCTGCCCCAAATATTCAATCAAAACTTAAGAATAATAATTGAAAAAAATATAGAGTTTCATCCTTCTTCTTCATCGGGAGTAATGAATCTGAATTCTATTAAGGAAAGCATAAATCACATTGGAAAATACACCTCCATACATCAAGCCCTTCGACCATCAGAAAACATCCATGTCGCAAATCTACACCGGCACCGCCCATTCGGCTGATAGATCGGAGGCAGGCGACGGTGCTTTCAACATCAGAAGAGTTGTTGGTGGAGGCAGCCGGTGAAGTTGCAGAGTACTTGTTGATTCGTTGTTACCCAACAAAGTTTTTGAGTCGATGGCAGAGTGCGCCGGTGGAGAATCACTTTAAGTACCAAAAGGTTGGAGATGATGGCAAAGTGCGTCGGTCAAGCAGGTGCGAATTGAGTACCAAAAGGTTATCTGAGATTTATTACCGGCTCGTTCAAAGCTCCGGGGAGTTCCTCCAATTTAAAGCTCCGGTTTTAGTGATTTTTTTTATTAAAGGGTAAATGAGTAACTTATTCCATAAAAAGTCAAATTAGACAATAATTTTGGAACAAAATTTTTTTGGTAAAGTGGACAATAATTATGAGACGGAGGGAGTATAAATTTTAGGTCGTCCTTATATTAGATCAGTCTACATGTTTTTGTTGCAAGTCATTTTAAGTAGTTTCTTTCGATTTTTTTTTTATGTCGACATTTCTCATTTCAATTTGACTTATTTTTCTATAAATTCTATTCTTTAACAGGATATATTCACTAGTTTCCTACGCATATGTCCGGGAACTCCTAGCCTTGCCGTCTTTGTCCAATTGGGGAAAAAAACAATTACTCCCTCCATTCCGAAATTATTGTCCAATTTGGATTTTCATTTATAATATAAAATGAACTAAAAGTGAAAAACTAAACTGGACAATAATTTTGGGATGGAGGGAGTATAAACAAATAAGTGCCCATTTAATTATTTTAGTTTGACTAACATCATTCTAACTTTTAAGATTTATACAGTCGATCTAGTGGCTATATTGGCCAGTGACTCTTATGTCCGTTTAATTTCTGTCATTGGCAGTTTGGTACGAATGGATTCTCTACATGTATACATACATACATATATATATATGGGTTTCGTGTCACAATCATCAACAAATTAAACCCCAAAACTATTCAGTCTTTTTAATTTGTGTGTCTTATTTTGCTTCTTTTTTCTTGGCAGATATACCAACATGAAGCAATAAAAATAAGTAGAAGTCACTGATGTGAATCAAGTGATTTTTCAAAAGATTTCGGTAAGGCGTTTTTATCTTAATTATTTTCTAGAACTTATGGTAGACATTAATTTTCAGGTGTATTAGTTAATAGAAGATATAAATATCTAATTTGAAAAAAAAATTAATTAAATAGTTAATTTAGTCATTTTTTGGTGAATTATCTATATTACCCATATTAAAAATGTCTCCAATCTTTAAAAATCAATCACATGAAATTTTAGTCGAATTAAATTAGAATAGAGTTAGAAATACACCATAAGTAGAACTTTAAAGATATCAAATACCTTATGAAGAATCAATGAAAGCTTTAAAAGATGGCTACTAAAAACAGAAATTAATGAGTAACATACAACTCCCAACTTTCTTCTAAGGATGAAGTATGATAAGTCAAATTCGCGGAACATAAAAAGTCAAAACTTTGATCCTCTCTGATTTAATTTGAGGTCCCGATTCTACGCAGGTTCTGTACCGTCCATATGGTTTGGCTTCTATTCAGCACGACTCAATGATTAGCGTTCCAACAGGTCTTATTCTCATAAGATTTCTGGTTTTAATTGCTCGATGAAAAAAGAAAAGGTCTTTGAAATTAATGTGAAATCTAGACTTCTTTCACTTGGAAAAAAAAAAAAAAAAGAGTTTGAAATAGTGCCAAATGATCACGCTACAATTTTGGCTAATCTGTCTCCTTAGTCATTTGCAATATATGTCGAAATCACCTTGGACTCTCATCTCAAAAGGGTTCCACCTCAAAACCAATTAGCTATGAGTGGAGTAGCGTTTGGCACTTATAAACAGGTGACAGATCTTTCACGACACCGATATGGGATTCTTTTTGTCCCAACAATATATCGACAATCACTTCACCAAGAAAAAAAAAAAAAAATTTTATTGCATTCAATAAAAAAAGACAAACATCTGAAATACAAAACTAAGTCTTTAAATCCAGTCACACCTTGACTCCCGTAAAGAAAGTTCGCCACACAATTTCAAATTTGTAAAACCTCAAATTCATGAAGAAATTAAATGTTAGTAGCTATTAATTCTTCATCAGAACAATAGTAATCATTGGATATATACTTACATGTACTGCATTTCAGTTTTGAATACTAAATAAAATTAAGAAATTAATTAAACAAATAGATAAACTTGGTAAAAAAAATGCTAGATAATTGTTTGCAAAAGAAGGTGACGCCAGTAAGTTAATCGGTTCAGGCATTGTTTTCTAGAGTTGTTAGCTTTGACATCGTAACTTAATGTTTATCTCGCTGGAAAGGATTCTATAACCTCTCTCCCGTCACCAAAACAATTTCCTCTGCCACTAGCTAGTAGTATTTCTGTATTCATGTTATTTCTTCCAATAAAAAAAAAAGTTTTATTTATCAAATTAAACTTATACAATAAATACATTTCTTATTTTGTGATTAAATAATTCTTTCAGTTGGAAAACGTAATATTAAGCCAAAATGTCCAACCATGAGAAATGGATACTCGACAGCCTAATGTTTTGCTAGTCATTTTCCTACCTTCCTGACCGTATAATTAATATACACAAAGAGATGATAAAATATATAAAACTTTTATTCAATTTCTGATGAGGGTTACACAAACTTCTTGTCACAGAAAGATCTAATACAGTGTGCTCAAAAGGAAATGTAGAATGTGATGGTTCTAAACCAATTGCCGTCTTCTGCTTGTCTGCATCTCTCATTTTCACTACTCCAGTGAGTTAATGACATCCAAACACGAAGTACCCAGTATCAACCACGGAATTTTTATTCACTTTCCGCACGAGCTAATTATTACTAGAAGATACAAAAAAGGTCATCAATTTCGCGGCATTGACTTTAACACTTACCTACTACTACCTCCTTCCATACTGAATAATAATTCACATTATAATTTTTAAATTGTATTTATACTATTTTTGTAAGGTAAAGGAAGTACTTGATATATGGATGGTCCAATGCCCACTTGATTATAATTTCCCTTCTTTTTGGTTCTATTATTATATATAGGACGTAAAAAAGTGTTCTTCCTGTTTCAATTCACTTGACGGGGAAGATTACGCAATAGTAGAGATGCAAAGTGATGATGAATTTGTAGAAATGGGTATTATTAGTGTTTATTTGGGTTATCATTTAGAAAGAAGCTTGAGCATGCTTGAAGTATAAACAACACCTTTTCAGTAATATATTTTGATTTTGGATTAATTTAGGTGTAAATGTAAAAGTTTTATATAGAAGAGTATTGAAAATTTATAAATTCTAACTTTGAAATTAGAAATGTGCTAATTGATATTTGTGTTTTTAAGTGAGAAGCGGGATGGTATAGGTTGATGAATGGTTACGGTGGACAATTATTACTCCATTAAGTTAGGGGTTTAATAGTTCTTTTAAGGAAAAAAAAAACAAATGGAAGAAGGTGAAAATCAAATTGAGTTTAGAGGATCTTCTTGAGCCGAAACCCATCGGATCCACTTCAAATAAGCAATATCAGTTCACGATTGAAACATGTTACTACTTCAGGAATTTGAAGAAAGGCCCAAGACAAGATTTCAGAAAGTCCAACTCTTGAGACTTGAGAGTTGTTATATACTTATATTTAACCAGGATCTCCCCAGGAGCCAGGCAGATAAGTTGGAAGCTAAAAGAGGTGGTGATCATGCCCTGTGTATTTCCTTCTCATTTAGAGCCTATGTATTGTTTCCCAGAGAACAAATAGGACATAAAATAGAAACCGTCCCAAAATAGTTGTCCACATTTACACTTATCTTTACACATAACCTGGATTTTATGGCAAGCCACACATGACCAAAGTAGTAAACGAAGTGAAGTTAAAACTTAAAAGAGCAAAACAAATTCTCTCTTTTTTTTTTTTCCTTTTTCTAACACAAACATGTCTACAAATATGACCATGTTATGAAACTGTAGAAAAAAAGACTATCTAATCAGTACTACAACACAATACCATGCCCTGTTTTGGCTACTGTCTATCAATCTCCAGTGCTTATCTCCTTTTATTTTCTTTCATTTTCTTCGAAGGCATCACGAAAGAATTAAATACGTTGTTCAGGCTTACATCAAGAGACGGATACCAGCCAGCCCTACAGCAGATATAGAAACAATGGTTCCAATGCAGTACTTGATGACTTCATATTTCGCTCCCTCTAACTGAGCCCTTAGCTCATGAATTTCCTGAAATTGTACAGACAAATAAGAAAAGGGAGTGCATCGATGTAGCAAATACTTCGACCATTTTTACCAAAAGCAACTTAAACGTCATGCTTTATACATACACGATCAAGTTTGTTAGTAAGGTTAGTTGTTTCTTGATTCTGATTTGCCAGCTCATCCCGCATTCTCCTGCAGGCGAAAAAGAGAAAAGATATTACCAATAGGAAGAGATTATAATAAAGAATCAGTAAGACCACAAACTCCCTTGTTTCTGTTCCCCGTTGGGGTAAATGAAATAGGGGTTGACATGCGCAGAAGTTGATCATCACCTATTGCTAGTTAACTATTCTCGAAAGAAAAGGGAAAGATACAGGAAATTTTGATTGCTCACTTACCCCCTCTCAAGATTCAGGTCCAAACGCAGCCCGGCAGTGACTTTGTCAATTTCATGCCTACAAATCATTTTCTTCAAGGTTTAGATGCAGGGTGCACTAGCATTAAACATAATTTTCTTTGCTAGATTAGGGTGGAACTTCTACTTTCACAGAGTTCAGAATGATACTCTACATATTCAATTAGATACATGCTGAGTAAACTCATCATATCATTTATGCTTCCTGTTTTAGGACAGAAAGGTAGGTCAAGGTTCAATATTATAGAGTTTTAAAATCCTAGTAAACATTTCCTCAAACAATTTAGTTGTTTTCATTTTCCTAGAGTACCATGAAATTCAACTTATAAAATTGCAAGATAATACAACAGATGTACCAATAGCAGCTATTAGTCATATCCTAACTCTAAGCATATATAGCTTGCATTACACAGACCTTAACTCGCCACGCATTTTCTCAATGTCACCCTTCATTTTTTCAGTCTCGTGTTGCAGCAGAGAAAAATGGTGTCCCTGCACTATGATTAAACCATATCACAATGAATAGAGCAACAAAACAAAATTTTGCATTAAGTTAATGGTGATGGGAAGTTTGGATCTAAACAACCATGATAAGGTTGCAAAGGCCATGAGTTTACAATAGGCAAAGAAGAGTTGAATCCTTTTTAACAGTCTGGAAACTACATCAGGAAGCCACATAGAAACAGCAGTTTCCATGGCATTTCTTTATGCACTAGAAAATTTACTCTATAATAATCCAAATCATTTACAAAATAAGGTGAAGGTGTATACCCATTGTTGTTTGCTACAAAATGTAGGTGTTCTGCGGACTAATGTATCTACACTGTATAGACTAAGTATGGCAATAAACCAAAAAATTTCACAATCCAACTTGCATGTAAGCCTCACGGTGAATTTAGTCCTCACCAATAAGAAATATACCTTAAGGCACCCTAACTAAGACACCAAATCAGTTAGCTACCAGATGATATAACTCACACCACAACCCCAGAACCAACAATCTCCTCTAGAATTTGCAAAAACATTTATGCATTAACATACGGCTGTAACCTACTAGAAACCAATATGAATATGCCTAACTGGTAATGGAACAAATTTGCATGAGTAAATCTAATAGAAACCATCATAATCAAACCAAAAATTATCCCTATCCTTAAGATTTCAATGGAAAGTAACAGCATGAGACCTTATATTATATAACAGAAGCAACAGTAACCCAGAGGGAAGAAAGGAAAAAACAGCAAATGAAGCAAACAAAATAGAAAAGCATTGTTTCCCCCCACAGGTTCTTTATATTCACCAAGAAACATCAGCATCATTTGATGAAAACAGGAGATCTCACATGTCTCCGCAAGAATCATCCCCGATCAGCATGACTTCCGCCTAACTAGTCTCAATAAATACTTTTAGCATCTTTTTTCTCTAACTTCCAACTTGTTATTTTAATTAGAGTGCATAATTTTAGACTAAAACCAGCCAAAATAAGCGATAGACACAAATTCTACTCCCACATAGCAAATAGCAAGAGAAAAGCACCTGAGAGCTCATAACTTCAGTCTTGAATTTGGATACACTAGCTTCTTGCATCATCTCCATCTAAATCAAGGAGAAGAAAGTTAAATAACAAAGACTAGATTCTAACTGATTCATCCCCAACGAGCATTGAGGAAACGGAAAGAATAATGCAAAATAAATAAACAAACGAATAAAAAAATCAGCGAAAACTTAATGAACACTGCATACTTTCTGCATTTCAGCTTTAGAAACCAAAGACTTAGAAACATTCTCTAAGCTGTCATTCAGCACATCGATTATAGCTCCGGTCATGGCCTCAGCATGCTTTGAAGGCACACCTTGCAATTCCAATCTCCTAACCTAATAAGTTAGAAGAGTATTATTGTTAGAGCGCACAATTATCCGTATTGAATTTAAGAAATTCGAGAAAAAGATTTTCAAATCAAGGAAAACAGAAACCGGTTCATATAATGAACTTACAAGAGCTAAGGTGTCGACGAGAAAGACGCGCCTGCCGTTGGAATTAACGAGCTGGGAGATGGAGCGGGAGTCCGACGGACAGGAAAGTGGAGATCCGGATTGGAAAAAGGTGGTTTTGGAACGGTTAGCTGATGCAGCTACCCTCCGACAAGCCGCATAAGCGGCAGCCATGGATTCCAAACTGCAATCGGAACTATAGCGTTGGAGGATGAGCAATTGAAAAGGAATATAGATGGCGCGAAGATTGATATTTTTGGTTTTGCTGTATTTGAATATCGTCTTTGATTGTTATCCTTGGGAAATGTTAGAAGAAGATTTCCCCTTGGTATTCAAACTGAATGGATTCGGGACTGGATTTCTGCTTTGGAAGGCGCTGCGGAGAAAAAGGGGGAAAAACAAAAAGGAAAAAGGGGGAGAAAAAAAAATGCAAAAAAATATAACGCCCACCGTGGGGCTCGAACCCACGACCACAAGGTTAAGAGCCTTGCGCTCTACCGACTGAGCTAGACGGGCGTGTTGACAGATGTTTATTAAAATTTATAATAGTAATAAACTCACAAACAACAAAATGTATAAAATTTAATATTTTTTGTAATTCTTTCAAGTCTTTGTGCAAATGTAGACGGTGGTTATTAGTTCCATGGCTCTTTCAAGTCTTTAATTTGGTTAAAAGAAAAGAATCCAAACAAACTTACGGTTTCCTATATTTTCAGTTTAGAGATAGTGTGAATCTTTTAGAATAAATTGTTTATTAATTACTCCGGCAATGTGGATTATTTTATAAATAAATTATTTAATACAAATTCCAAAAAGACTATTTTCACTTTTAGAACCGAGGGAATATTAAGTAGCTTTAATTCCTGAAAATTAGATAAATCTACAAAAAGATGCATTGCATTATTCTTCCAAAGTTGTTCTGGTAACCAAAAACAATTTAATGAAAATTTCATCTCGATTTCCACACAGAAGATTCGTCTGCTTAACTACGCTAAAGATTGACAAGTGCTCTCTATCCTCATTACAAGTTGATATTCCAACTGCATCTAACTTAGCTCACAAACTGACATTCTTCCTAGACAATATGTTAAAAAGCAACTGCAGGAAAATAAAGAAAACTGGGTTAACAAAGATGAGTATCAGTACATTTGAGTTTTTATAAGCCGAAAATATCACCTCCCAAGCACACTCAATTCAACAGCGTGAAGCAAATAGGAGGAAATTTACAATATGCAAATATTACATTATTTGATCAATGTAACTTCCTAGGTTTCCATTCGATGTGGTGAATATTTTACCACTTATTTAGGGCGTCTGCGGTAAGGGTAGAGAATGTCGTCTACACTCTCTTTTACTCGGTTGCCCACTTTGCGCATGTTCTTGACCACTCCCATCGCAACCAAGTTGGCATTTCTTTTGAATCTATATTGTACATAAATCAAGAAATGCATTTCAGATACTCATCATCTCAATGTTACTTGTATGAACTTTACATGAACATATAAATCAAGAGATGCACTTTCAGATGCTCGTAAACTCAATGTTAGTAGCATAAACTGCACATGACCATGATGATGAATTTAGTCCAGAAAAAATTAAAATCAAGGTTCAAAAGTCCTTGCCTGGTCAGAAACTCATCATTAATTGGCTGAGCCGGTTTCACTGGACGAGTTGGTGAGTTTGTTGAAGTAGAAACACCTTCCAAAGAGAATGAAAAACTTTTCTTCAGAGATGATAGTTAAGGATAATATTTGATAAGCACCAGAACTAAAAGCAAAATACAAAGAAACAATAAAATTGAAGCAATAAAAACTGTCCTTCTCCAGTGCTCATATATTATCTGACATTGCTATGCATTAAAATTAATTAAATTGGGTCAACAATGCATCTACCACCTATCTGGCTGACCAACTTAACCCCTCTCTATAACTAAAAAAATCGGAGACATTCTACAAAAAAAAAGTTAGAAAGGGGCCTTTAACTGCGATCTCCACCCGTATTCAGCCGAAGAGAACTAAAGTGGCAGCTGATACCATGTGCAAGGAAACGAGACCTTTATTTCAATATAAATGTTGATCACCACTACTGCACGAAAATCCAAATTGGCTCTACAAGGATGGTGGGAACAACAGAAATGAAGCCACACATAGACACCAAGTGAAAAGGTACCTTCTTTGTTATGTATGTGAGCCGGAGGTGAACTAACATTTCTGACTCTTCTGTCCATCAAAATCTGCAGAATGGATCAAATCTGTCAGCCTAGTTTATCAGTGAGAATTGCCCTTCTGGAAGTAAAGATGCTATTGATGTGTCTCAAGCAAAGTGCTAACTTATGGAGGGTTTTAAAAAAGATAACCTAAGCAAGGTGATTCATGTAAAAAAGAAACAGAACATGCCCACAGTTATTAAGCCGAATGAGACAGTGATTAGGGGAGCTTAACCTCAATTCCAACACAAATAGGCAGTGTCGTCGTCTCTTTCTCATCATTTGGTTGAACTTTATCGACAGAGTAAGCTGAGTAGCCAAGGCAACTATATTTAAAATCTACCAGCCTGCTTCCTGCTTGGGACGCCTCCATCTCTGATTTGCTAACGACATTTCGGGGTACTATAAAGCAAGGTAAAAAAAGCGTTTTATCAAATGTCAATTTGGAATCTAAAGAAAACACATGAAAATAATACAAAATGAACTAAAAGGCAACCACAAAGGCTACAATAGATAAACAAATACATAACCAATGTAATATATCCTAAGCATCTGAGATGTAAAACTCAGCCAAAAATGTCTATACCAACATAGTTCCACACTCAGCAGGATATCAAGATAGCCCAAACCTAGGTAACACACATGAGCATGAAAATACTCCCAAGAATTAAGATTACCCTATTGAGAGGAAAATCATCCAAATAACTTTAAAACGTTGGAGTTGACATCAGCTAGGGGAAGCTTTAGAAGAGGAAAGCAACAGATATAACACCCCAGTGATGATGTGTACAGAGAAAATCTCAAAAGATACCACAACATAGAACACCCTACAGAAAGATCATTTCATGGCACAGTGTTCAATTAAAACACAACCTACAACTCTTACCTCATTGCAAGTGAAATCAATCAAGCAACTAAATTACTGTTAAGTGAACCACCAATCAAATTATCAAGTATAACTTCAGAACACTATCAGTCATTGGTAAATAATAATCTGAAAAGTGGAGTTAACCTACTCCTGCATCAAACAATCAAAAGCAAAGAGCTTTATCTCAACAACACCCCCAAAATAAAAATAAAAAAATCAATTCCAAACGCTCTCCAAAATCCCCAACAGGAATAGAGAATAAAGATAAGACCAATCAATATTGCACCAGAATAAGATTCCCGGAAATCGAAGACGGTAAATTTAAAGAAAGCCAATGTCCTTATAAACCTACAATGAATAGAAAAGATAACACAACCTAAATAATTATCATCCCAAAACGACCAACAAACAAATGAAGCTTCATAATTACAATACCATTTGGATAGGAACGGGTAAAACCGACGCAGACAGGGTTGCGGGAATTGGATTTGAAAGCTGAGGAATAATACAAACATCCCTTGCAAGTTCTGCCCTTAACCCCGTTTGTCAAGGTACTGTTTTTATCCGAGGATGAAGATGAAGGCGGGGTTCCTGAGACTTTCGATTCTTCTCTAGATTCATTCTGATGATGAAAATCGTCGGTGTTGGGGGACGGCTGATTATCCCGATGAATTGTCGCGGTGGTCGAATTATGCGGATCCGCCACAAACCTCTCCGACGCCGCCTCCTCATCCGCCGCCATGAATGGCCCCTTTATTTCTTCGGATTAACAATCAATCAATGAATCGTGAGGTATGATGCAGCAGCTAAGGGGTATCGTCTGACTCCCGATTGTGGAGTAATGAACCCTGAGTCGACAGTGGATTTTTTTGACGGGGTTGAGGTTGTACAAGGTAACAAAAAGTAATTATAATTATAGTAATCTACTAATGTTGCCTTTCTTATAGAACAAAAATAATTTATCACACAAAGAAAAAAAACAACAACAAAAATATATTTGGGAAAGAAAAAATACTACTGACATATCCGTCGTCTTAGACCACTAGACTTATCAAATCTGTTATGGTAAAAGAAAAAATATTACTAGTAATTGTACCCAAAAAGAAAATATTAAAAAAATAATTCTATGTTTTCTCATTTATTTATTATTTTTTTCAATTTAGTAGGATCGTATCAGCCTATCAGGGCATAGAACCTGACTGGGTTAGCAGACAGTTCTCATATGCCAGAACTATGAAGTTTTATTTGTGTATTTTCTTTAAAAATGGGATTTTATATTATATTTTTATTATGTACTAACTGTAGCTAGATCAAAATTTTGTAACATAATCTTCTGTTTTTTTTCATTGAAATCAGAATTTTACTTTGTGCAAAGTTCTTCAATGAACTAGATCAAAATGTGAAAGAAGTAAAGCTCATTCTCCACATTTTGATGTTACAAAATACACTTGGTATTAGGTACATACTACATAATACATTGCCTACAAATGTGAAACTATACCCCGAAGAACCAAAAGAAAACACTCAAATAATAGTTCCCTATGTTCGGACAACAGAACGATTCAAAACTGGATAGGAAGTATCTAGTTCAAGTTGTTCTAAGATTTGTTGTGCAGCCCATAAGTAAGCAGAATGGCCCTCAATTAGTTCAGTAGCATCCACCTGTGAAAACCACAACAGGGGTAAAAGTTAGTAGAAGATTACAAGATCTTGAATTGATGAAAGGCAGGTTTGGTTTGAGTACTTTGACTAGTTCGAGCACACTTACATTCTCGATTCCGGGAATATCTACTGGCTGAATTCCTGCTAGTCCTTGTGTCAGGAGGCTGTTTCACACAAATTCATCTGAGTTCAATAATTCCAGAAAGCAAACACAGAGACAGGCAGAAGGGTGCAATGGTTCAGGGTATTCATGCAGAGGTGGAATTGTTCAATACCTTGCACGAAATGCAATACCAAGCATCCAGTCACTCGTGGAATAAACATTTACAAATCTACCAGCTACCACCTGAATAATTGCAAGAAACAGACACAGAATTAACTGACGTAGGCACTAAACGCACCTAGCAGACTCAGCATGGAGTACGATAAGGCTATCCTCCCCTTATCCTCCATAAACACACATAAGGAGCATGGGCGAAGAGTCAGTTTCAAAGAAAGGGGAGATACGGGAAGAAGTAAAACAGGGAAGATCAAAGGAAAAAAGATATTTGAAAAGGGAAAGCTATGGAACCTTCCTAGCAGCCTCCCAATTTTCATCTTTAATTGCAATTGGGGACCCGAGAATAACAACTCTTTCGACTAGATCAGCTGCCAAAGTTCAAAAATCGCATCATAATCATTTCACCTATAGATCTACTCGAGAGATGGTTAATAGTGTTATGAGCATTTACCACTATCCTTCTCAGCTAAGGTTTGGAGGCACTTAAAAATAACTCTTGCTCCAAGCGAAAATCCAACAAGTGTTACAGGCCTGCATATTAGAAAAACACAGGTTCGAATTAAACAGCAGTCAGTAGAAAAATAACTTCCCAGTCATAAAAACGGGAGTAGCAACCAAGGTACCTATTTCCTTGCAGTCCCTTCAGCAGAACTTCTGCAAGTAATATCCCTGCCTTATCAGATCTGTGAATACAGTGCATGTAAGAAATATTTTTTGATACAAAAAAAGAACCTATACGTTGTGAACAATGTTCCAAAATCCACATCCACCTTATCCAACGAGGGAGTTTAAGGCAATACGGGATACTACATTCTAAGAAGAACTTTTTAACATTTCAAAGTAAACATGCCTCGAACAGGGTAAGCTTACATTCCATCACAAACATGTAAAGTTATTAACAAAGGTTTAATCATTGTTCAAGCACTTGGTTTACATCAAATCAAAGCTAAGATAAGTACGTTGAAAATTTCGAATTTCCGGCGCAAATGCAGTAGACAAAGCAGTACCTGTCTACAGCAATCGTCCATGTGCTATCAATAAAATTTGTAGCAGAAAGTAAAGTTGTTGGCCAAGCCAATGCAGCTACAAGCGTGCTCAACACAGTCAACATTGCCCCCTGTTTCATCAATTCCGTAGCAAGTTCTGCAGCAAATAGTATCGATGTCCATACCAGTCATTTCTAATGTTACATGACGGAGCTTGCAAAGTCTATGGAGTCTGATATGTATATGAATCGGCTTACTTGAAGTGAGCCAGTCCTGGATTGCAGTGCTAACAGCAATTAGATTCTTGGATTCCCACTGCAAAGCATACCTAGAGAAGTGCTTTGGCAGTTAGAAGTAAGATGGCAACAGTTTTTTGTGTAATGAACCAACAAGGTTTGTTCACAGGAAATGAATGATAATATCAACCAGGCCTTCTATGGGACCAGAATTAGTCCTGGATGGCAGAAAGTATTTGAAGATAAAAATTTAGCACCAACATCTCTCCAAATTCTCTTGAATTTATATATAAGCACTGTAGCTGGCTTACCTTTCCAAGTGATCATTCACTCCTTCCCAAGGTCTCACAAAATCTTTCTCCTCAAACACAAATCCAGATATCAAGATCTCCACTGCCAGTCGCTGATAGCATACAGATTTGAGAAGATACATTATGAAATAAAATTTGCAAATTATGAATATCCACGGAAGAAACTACAGAAAATAGATGCCTTATTGAATGAAGCGAGAATAGAGGAAAATGTCGGGGGTGGAACAAGCAAAAAGTGCAACACAAAGGAAAAGTGGAACTCACCCCTTGGTTATGGTTTTCACCGATACCTTTGAACTCAAATTCGTCCACGTCTCCCATTCTCCTGGCCATTTTTGTCCCCGTAAGTCCAGCTCCAGCAGCTGGGTGAGTAGAAGCATTTGTCAGGAAGTTTTATCTTTTGTTTATGAACATTAAAACCATGAGGACAAAAACTCTCCCTCAAACAAAAGGTTACAAAAAAATATACTCCCTCTGTCCCCAAATTATTGTCCAGTTTCAAATTTCACTTTTAGTACGATTTGACTAAAAATGAAAACTCAAACTGGACAATGATTTTGGGACGGTGGGAGTAGTTTCTTGCATGAAGTAGGGTAGTCCTGGCTCCAGTTATTTTAATAGATGTCTTGCTTCAGAGAACATTAAGGTTCAGATCTCTGAGGAAATATCAATAAATGCTCACCGCCAAATGATGCAGCAACAGCAACGGATCCAGCCACACTTCCTGCAGCACTTGCAACTGCAGCAAACCCACTCGCTCCAATCACAGGTACGAGAGTCCCCAAAGTAGGGGCTAAAGCACCGAAGCCCGCTGCAATTGCTGGAGCCGCTAAACCTGTTAAAGGATAACAGAAACATTTAGTGCTCATAATTTTGAAAGAAAACTCACTGAATGATAGAATCCATACCACCAGTGATTGCCATCAATGTCCCTCCAGCTACTGCAGCTGCCCCAATGATACCTCCTCGTTTCCATTTAGCCCATGAACTCTGTGGAGATTGTGCCTCCTCTTTTGATTCTTCCTCTTTCAATACAGCCATGGCAGAACAAGCAACCATAGTTTCAATTGCTTCCTGCATTACAAAATTTCTTACCAAAATGAAACAGTATGTAGAGTCCTTTTCAGATAGATATTAACGGGTGCATGATAAATTAAAAAATATATATATAACTAGATGAAGTTATAATAAACTCGATATCAAGTTGTGCTGTAAATTCTTGGCATTTTCTGAAGTCCACATACTTACTTTTCTTGAGTTCCCCACGAATTTATTTGTACCATATACTTTTAAGCCACAATAGAAACCAATACAAACCACAAAAATCACAAAGCAAGGTTTACCATTTTAATCCACTTCACATCAAACCAGGTAGCTAGTAGACGCAAAGCTACACGATGCCTGGCATCATAGCCCTTTCTTTGCCTTTTAGTCTTCTTATCATCTTCAAATTTATTTGCTAAACAAGCAGTAAGAAGCTCATAGAGAACCGCCACTTTCTTGGGGTAACCAAGCATTGTCAACTCCTCCACAGGCTTCTGAATGTTTTCATTAAAGTCACCACTAGACTCTATATGAAGCTGTTCAACAGTGGGGGGTTTATTATGCGTTTCTGTTTGACTTTCACCAGCTTCGGACTTCAGCTTCGCCTTCGTGTCACTAGATGAATACTTCTCACGACATTCACTCTCATACTCTTGTTGCTTCAGCTTCTTAGACTGATGATCGCCCGTATCACTCTCCATGCTTGAGGCCATGGCATCAACACTTTTTGATAAAGCCAGCTCTATATCAGCCACCTCGGAGCCATCACGCCCGGTCTCCTCAGAGAGCATCCTCAAAAACTGACAATCACATAAGATTAGATTTACTACATTTAACCAAGACTAATTGCAAATCAACTCATAAAGGCATATCGTGTTTCGGAAAGAAGAAAAACAATGCGTAGATTTGAAGAGGCAGGAAAACTAACCGCTCCAACATGGTGATTTACAGGTGAACAAGCTGATGTTTCCTCAAGTCCCGTCCATGCTTTGCTGTCTATTTCCAGATACCTAATCATATCAATGTCAGTCTAAAAAAATGTAAAAATAATGTCAATTGTCGTCCTGAAAACAAAAATCAGTATCGCGGTTCCACAAATGCTGTTCTTGAAAACTTCTTGTATTTTTCACTGATATTTCCTTTCATCAAACAAAATGCTAACCCATAATAAGGTGCACAATTTTTCAATTCAGTAAGAGGGAGAACGTAAAAGCACCTGAATACTGGTCGGAGGAGGTCAGAGGTAGGATTGACCCAAAGCTGTTGATCATCGGAGACGGAATCGCTACTGCTGCTGGCACTGCTGACGCGGTCTTGAATTGGGCCGGCATCATCGTCGTTGTCAGAGGGAGAGCTCAATTGACAGGTTTGGATTACCTGAGCTTGGTGAAGGGCCAATCCGAACAGAGCTCCCGCCGCATATTTCTCCGTCGGTGTTAACATCGATGATGATGACATCTCCTTTTGGGTTTGAATTTGTCTGCTTCAACCGATCAAGAAGATAACTGACAAATAAAATGCACATCAAGGTTGACGGTGTCAGAACTTATATTTTGTGCAAAGAAGAAATCCTCAAGGTTGACGTCCATTCTTGTTATGTTTGTGAAGTAGTAGTATAAGACAATTCCATAGCAAAGGTATTTTCAAATTTTTATTTTAAGAGAAATGCAAAAATATGGAGTCAAAATTATGTAAAGAAAACTAGAGAGAAAAAGTGAAATGAAACTAGTAATACGCCGTCTGTCCCAAACTAATTTTATATTCCCTCTGTCTCAAAATTATTGTTCAGTTTAAAATTTTATTTTTAGTACAATTTGAACTAAAAATAAAAACTCAAACTGGACAATTATGAGACGCGGAGTACTATGTTAGAACAGAAAGCACTAATGGCGCATCAACAAATGAGTAGCCATGATGAATAAACAAGGATTTTTGCTGGGACTGTAACCGAAGTTCTGAACTTCTTACTTCTTCCTCTAGTCTTTGGAGGATTGAATTGATCACAAAAATTTAGGTAATGCTTGAGCAGTCCTCATCTTCCTAACATAATACAACAGGTGCTAGGCCTAACTACATTAGTAATTCCATCAATACGAGGAACTTATCTCGTGGATCAAAGGGACAAGAGACAGCAATGAAATCTCATCCCCCGCTACTGAATCACTAAATTACAATAAAATTATTTGCATGAATAATACATATCGTGTCCATCCTAAATCCCCGATTGTTCCGGTTAAAGCAATGTGGTAATGTGGTACACCATCAGCTGCATGAACACAAACTTCCCCTAAGCTTCATTGTACAGAAAAAAAAAAAAAAAGCAACTTCAAGGATGGAGGTAATCGCACAATGCTCCTTTCTTGCAATGCCCGCTTTCATAAAATTTACAAACTCGCTGTCCTTTGGGAGGTGGCCTGGAATATCCACCTCCGCTACTACTGCCACCCCCTCCACCACCACCACCATGTGGCTGCCTGCCCCACATTGGCCTACCCCTGCCGTATCCTGATTCTCCTCCCTGGTATCCCCAGTCTCTAGGGCTCGAAAACCTCTCAGCCCCATATCTACTACGGGGGCTGTCCCACCCTATACCTGCACCATAAGCACCAAGATTGAAATTTGGATTTACCCATGGTCCTCCCATGGCAGCTCCCCAACCCATGTTAGGAAAACCTTGTGGCGAACCTGCCCACCCCATATTCATGTTTGCCTGCAATCCAGGCCAGCCAGTGTCCAAGGGTTCCAAATTCCGACCCCGGGTCATTGGTGTTGGCGTCATGCTCTGACTAGTGGTGCATCCTTCAGGAGGATGGATATTTGCACCAGATTCCCTTGGATTAGGGGGAACATTAGTAGACCTGGTTTCACGCTCACTACTAGTAGCAGAATTGCCATCAGGTCTTCTCAAAGGATCAAATACATCGGCCTGAGAATCCACACCTGGATCATCTACAACTGGGGATTGTGAGGGAAACTGCACCTCTCCAGAGCTCACAGCATCACTTTTGCCAGCATCAGGAGTTGGGCTCAACTCCTCAATGGAGCTGAAACAGTCATTTCTACAATTATCAATCAGTTCATCATTAAGTTTCATTCCCGAAGTAGGTGATGCCAAGCCACTTTGAGACTCCATGGCATCAACTTCAGCCAACAGATCTGACACTGATTCCTCCGCCAAAGTGCTGAACTCAATTGGCTCGTGGACACCTGCTTGCCAGCTGGATATATGTGAGGGAGGATGTGAAGTAGACGAATGCACTAGTGGATTGATATTTAGATTTGGAATACCAACTTGATCATCCAATATTTCGGTGGGTTTTACAGAAGCCATAGATACAAGACCTGAACCCCATCCCTCGTCAGAAGGCTTTGACGCAGCAGGGGGGTATCCAGGCCACTGATGAGCTACTTCATGAAGCTGAGACCCCCCAATCCCCAGGCTAGCACTCCAGCTAGGGCCAGCATCTGGAACCGATACTTTATTCAATACTGATTGATTGTTTTCAACAGGCTGTTCTCCCTGATAATCATCAGTAGGCTTTGGTGAAGTACATGGCAAGACCACTTCCATTGGTTTTGTTGTCGTACTTAGTAAGTTTTCTTGTTTTTCTCCTGATGCAGGACTTGAAAGAGCTTCATCCATTAGCTTTCGTATGGGAGTTGGTAAGCCAGATCTCACGGAACCCTGTACAGGGACATCTAACTTTGTTTCTTTCTTTTGAATAGATTGACCTGCCAAAATTTCATGGAATGTCCTCGGAGTAGGGCTTGGCAAATCTAACATATCAGCAGCACCATCAGCCGTATCATTTGGAGGAGTGGCTATAGCAGCCAAGCCAGAATTAGAGTCCTTCTGATTCAAATCTAAATTTAATAAGAAAGGCCTCAAATTTTGTCCAGAAGACTGCCTTGCATCAATCGGACCATTTGATGACTCCAGACTATCTCCACTTGTTATGTGATGCATTGTAGGGGCACAAGAATTATGACTACTGTGATCTAAGGCAGATTTAAGTTCCTTCGTTTCATATCCGCTTACCTGCTGTTCAACAGCCTGCTCAAGATTGAAAGAATGCTTACTAGAAGGAGGTCTACTAGTATCTTGTAAACAGGGGACCTTCTCCAGTGATGGAGCTTTACAAAACTGCCCATCAAGTGCATCAGTTAAAAGCATGGACTCATTTAGCTCATCAATAGACCATATCTTCATGTCAGCTGGGAAGTATCCAGTTGTACTCCACTTCCGTAACTGCATCATGGCAAATGGTCCTTGAACTTTACCATTTGGATCACGATAATGCCACATTTTGTCCATTTCACTAATACCAATAGCAGACAACCCTCCTGATGAGACACTAGCATTTGAAGCTTTTCCTATTGCTTTATTACTCCACTCACTTTCTGGTCCATTAACAGTAACCTGAATCTCATGCTTTGTGTTCCAATTCTCATTTGGATTATGAGCCTTTTTAGTCCCCTCTTCGACTGGAAAGAGGGTATAGACATCAAATTAGAACCCTAGCAACACAGTTGGATACTATCACACCAAAGATAAGGATGCAAAATGTCACCTTTTCTTTTTGAAGTTATTGGCCGGCTTCTGTTATTGTGAAATTTAGGACGCTTGGCCCTAGAAACCTCATCTGCAAAGCATTCAGAAGCTTCAATCAGAAGAGCATCATATCAAGCAAGATTCAAATTAATGAAATAGAAGTAAAACCTCAAGAGAGAGAACTTACTTTGATTTTTATCCTTGCCACCCACATCATCTTCCTCAGATTCACAATCCGGATTCATTTTGGGGTCAGCATGTACTTCAGGAATTTCAGTTAGTCTACGCTGACGTTCCTCAGGCGTTTTGAGTAGCTGCAGTTTCTCCACATATTGTCTAAGAGTGAGTATCGTCAAGGAATTGCTACTTGCAAAAGAATCCATAAGAAGTGTCAACCCAAACTTCTGTGTTAATTAACCAACACACACATGAATCTATATGTACTTTACCAAAGAAGTGACTGCACTAGAAGAAAGAATAATAACCCCAGAAAATTTTTCATTCCTATACTGTTTGAGCCACAAAATTTTACCCCAGTAATCAAGCTCCTCCTATCAAAGCCAAAAGTTGACACTAAGTTGCTATCACTTTAAGACCATACTTTGTCAAAGAAAAGGATATTCTCTCTTGCGCCCCTTCTCGTTAGCTCGATCACGCAGATGATTAAAACGCAATATTTCTGCAGCGAGCATCTGCACATGTTAAAATATTAAATGGACAAAAAGCATCAGAAAACTGCAGTTAAGTTAATATAGTGATAGAATTGACCATCATTTAACAACTACAGGAGAATGCTATGAAACTTAAATGAAAAAACTTACATCATCAAGCTTCACTGCCTGAAGAGCGATAGCTTTCGTTTGTATCTCGCCCTATATTAAAGCAAAAACTTTCAGCAATGTGGCATATCTTTCTTTAAATCAAGGCAGCAGGAGCAGGTAAACTTACTACAGTGAACAGCTTGACAAGCTTATATCTTATACTCTGACGAAGACGTCTGCATTCCTCCTGAAAATGCAAGTTGAAACGCAAGTTTTCAACGAGAATCCATTAACTATTGATCATCAAATACCAAAGTACCAATACTTTCCCATCGATGCAGTACTTGCGAAATCATGATTCAAATATAGTGAAATACGGCAAAAACATGTTGACACCCATTTTCATATTACAATATATAATCACCCAGTAAATAAAGATGGAATTTACATAAAAGAATAGTCCAAGCAGACAAAGCATATTGTTAAGATGATGATATTCCACACAAACAAAAATAAAATAAAATAATTATAAAAATAAAAATTCAGAGACCAAAGACACAAAATGACATGAGAAAATTTGAAGCCAGATAAAACCACATGTCCCTTCCGGTACATCCGATAAGAAGAGAAAAGTGGCATGCGAGCAGAAACAGAAATTTAAAGAAAAATAGGTATAGTCAGCTCTCTTAATGAAAGTTCAACCGACAGTATAATTACCGGAGAAAAATCTTGGTCGGAAATAGCATCAATTTGTAGAGTCTCTTTCTTGTTCAAGTTCAGGACTTCAAGCATGTAATCCGTTGTCTTATCACCAAGTTTATAAGGTTCAGCTGCTTTAGTTGTGCCTGTATTAAAAGAATTGCTATCTTTAACTAAATTGGAAAATTCTCTAACTAAAGATACCAAACACTTCAATATTGTATCAATAAATTGGACAGGTTACGTACCTACAACTTGTACAAGCCTATATATATCTTGCCCTTGATCATTAGAAGAAACTCTTATCCGAACAATAGAACCAACCACCTTATCACGGAAGTTCTCATCACCTCCAACAAGACTTTCCACCAAATTACGCCGTAAGTAAATCAAACTAATGTTGTGAACATCAATAGCAGCAAGGTCATCCAGATTAGTCTGAGGTGCTCTCTCTTCAGCCTTTTTCCGAGTCCTACGTTTCTTGTTTTGATCTATCAGAAGATTAGAATTCTGATCAGCTCCTACTTTATCTGCAACACTGCCAACAATCCCCGCTGGAATAAAACCGTTGTTCTGACCTTCCTCTTTTATGAGAATGTGATATTCAAGAAGCTTCAGCATTTCAATATGACCGACGCGGGGTTTTCCAAAAAGATTTTTCAGCCTTATGTCACAGATGATCTGGCTTTTACGACGAGGATCACGAAGATTGTTTCTCTTTATATACTCCAGTATCAAAGATTGAACATCAAATGGAGACAGCGCAGAGGTATCCCCATTTTTCATATGAGAGACAAACTCCAGAAGCTCTTTAGATGCCCAATCCTTGGATTCAGCCAACTTTTCACTGTTATCACTGCTTAGCTTTTCAATTGCAGAATTATTAGAACCAGGCACTTGCTGGACATGCTGTTCCTTGTACACATTTAGCTCTGAAGTTTCAGAGGGCCCGACAGAAGTAGACACCATGTTTTCATTTACAGAATAATTATGACCAGGTGACTGTTGCTTAGACGGCATGTTCAGCTCAGAATTTTCAGAGACCGTAACACAAATCGGAGCTACAATTCCATATACAGAAGAATGATCACTAGATGATTGCCTATGCTGTTCCTTGGGCATATTAAGCTCGAGATTCTCGGAGGACCTAACAGAAACAGAGACCATGCTTCCATTCAAAGAGTGGTTAATCAAAGGTGGTCGCTGCTTATAATCCATCATTTGTGCCCTCCATGGATTTTTTGCTTGCATTAGCTCATCTACTGTTAGCGAAAGACTGTCTTTTAAGCATGTCCAATACACTTTGAAAAGGTACTCCCAGCTCAGTTTATCATCAAAATCTACTTGTACCTGCACAGAATGGAGATCTAAGCTAATGGCAGCATACTATCATAATGGAGCCAAAACACCTAGAGAGCAAGGGTACACTCATTCTGAAAAGCAATAGTATCTACTGGTGAACAGCATAAGTACTTACTCCCCAAGGAAACCAGACTTGCAACCAACAGGCTCAGATAGATAAACAACTCCTCCATTCACACATCACTTGTACTTCATTTCTAAGAAGAATTTGCTTCTATATGACAATGTAAAACAAATTCCACCCATAACCCCTAGTACCCTGTACAGTTCAGGGTAGATCGCAATGTTCTTCAGTTTCTCACTATACTATACAAGGACAAATTAAGCATTCGGTGAAAGTTTGTACTCATCAGCATTTATTCCCCTGCTTTTCAGTGTGGAAAGAATGTTAACAAGTTCAGGAGAGTCAGAAGATGGTACATGATATCTTTCCTGATCAGCCCCTTCCTCACAATCGTTAAACCTCATTCAAGTTAGTTAAAAAGCAACTTTCTATAAAAGCATCAGAAGGAAAAAACATAAGGGAGGCTGCAAGCTGACTTGTAACAAATTAAGAAATGATGTTTGATCATTTAATCCCCCCAACCACATCTTCTTTAACCAAGAGCCAATAAGCAAATATAAAGAAGAAAGATGTGAGAATGAAACAAGTAAACAAGCCAACAGAAACAATTATTGACAAATTTCCCTATAGTTACATCATTAAATTGTAGGTGGAAACACAAATAAAATGGAAAACAATTAGAAAATCGCATACAGGATAAATACAAACCAAGTAGAAGGAGAAGACAGACCTTTTCCTGTCCGGTATCTTTCTTTTCAATCAGCATGATAGTTTTCATGCATGTTGTACAAAAGCCTTTATTCCCTCTGACACACACATAATCTGCACCCTTAGTGCATCCCTTGCACAGTGAGTAGGTACATGTGTAGCACATATAATGGGACGCCTTCTGACAAACACTACATATATGCCACCCTGAATAAAAGCACCACCATTAGGTTCATAATAAGGTTTTCTGACATGAAAATAGTTATTAAGGTAACTCAAAGAAAGAGACATCCAGATAAAAACAGTGAAATGGTTTAGACAACTTAAGTTACAGGAATGCTTTTAGTAAATTATTGATGTAGAAACTGGACGTGCAAAACTGGCAAGTCAATCATAATCAGTCAAGAACCGGAAAAGCCTGTGCTTTTGATAAAGGAATACAAGATGATGTGGTGCCAAATTAGGAAAGTGACCTAAGGAAAGAGCATATGATGCCACCAAGAGATGTAAATGGTTATAAATAGTGCATTTACACTTACGAAAATGAAGAATGAATCCGAAAGTTACCATTTATGACAGACGTACCATACACTATAATATTCAAATAGGACCCTGTTTTCTAAGAGATTAATATGTGTTGTGAGGAATGAAAATGTAATGATCATGTTTGCCGACAGGAACCCTCATCTAAGGCCATAGAAAAGCAGAATATCACTGGAAACAGCCTTTGGTGCTTAACACAAACTCAGAAATTCATGCTGAACAGTATGCAGAACCCAGATTCCAATGCTAATGAGGTATCCATTACTGGTATACGGAAGTGGTGGAACTACATGTTAACACTTGAAGATTCCTAGCTTCAGTCACAAGACTCCTATACGTACCTTAATAGAAGTACACACACACATTCACCTATCAGCAAAACTTCAATATCAAGAAAAATATTCAACCAAAATAGTTCTACACTTGCAACACAGCATGGTTAATCAAGGAAGTTGTACCATATCCTAAAATAAGTGCAGGCATCCATGACCGGTGAATTGAAATAACTAGTGACAACAGCTAACTCTTAGGTAACCAATAACCATTTTGATCAGCCAACTATGAAGAATGACCATGTAGGGAGCGGATACAATTTCATTAGAGCAGTTAGATACATATTCCCCTTCCAAATTCTTAAAATTAAGGTAGCAGACCTAAATCTCCAAGTACAATGCGTAAGTTCAGATAACTCTACTACCAAAGTTAAACTGTACAATAAAACCCCTGTGATACTAGCAAAGAATTCTGTGGTTATTTAAGTCACGGCAATGGCAAAGAGGTTTTTCCTGTTCTGTTGGACGAAGTAAGGCAATGCGAAGCTGATCTTATTGATAGAACAGTTGGATATTTCCATTACCCATTAATTAAATATGTGTTCACATAGGGGTCAAAATGCATAACAAAATGAACCTGAAAGCAACAACAACTAAAAAGCCTTATATGCAAACACTATACGACCAACAAGACAATCAAATACACAGAATTATGTAACAAAAGGGCTAAAGCAGAAACTTTTATTGAAATGCAACGAAACAGATCAAGCAGTGACACAAAAGCCAAAATTAACACTTTACCACAGTTCCATTTCGCCTTAGATCGAAAAAATGCCTCATCCCGCTTAATACAAGCAGGGTGATACGCCTTCGGGCAACCCCTATATGTTAACAGCAGCAAATTAATACATACTCTAAAAATAATTCTTCAAGTTCAAGTGTAAAAAGATTCCTAAACTACCATTTCCTGGCAGAAGTAGCTCAAAATGAAAACAAGTCAAAATTCAAAATCGTCAGAGGAAAACACGGGTAACAGAGCAACTCACTTGCGATCACACAGCACGAGAGAGCCACCATCGAAGCAAATAAAGCAGACGTCTTCGTCCTCATAAGTCGGCTTCGGCGGCTGAGGCTTAGGAGCCGGCGCCGTTCCTCTGGGAGGCCTGCCGCGTTTTCTTTTCCCATTTAACTGTCCAACATGCCCAACCATCACTGTATTAACTCTCACGGCCTGGCCAGATACAGCCGGAGCTTCCACAATTCTCGCCGGAACATCAGTAACTCCGGCGCCCACCGGATGAAGACCACCGTCCAGCTGGGAATCATCCTTTTCCGGCCCCGAAAGGCACTGGTCGTCCAACCCTAAAGTCTTCACAATTTGGTCAAAGGTTTGACTCATTACATTGGTAGCAGCTGCAGTCTCTAAATTCTCAACACGCGGCACATTCGGAGCCGCCCGTGAATCTCCGCCATCCATTCGGGGCAAAGGGGAAAGATAATTTCAGCTCCTTGAACCGGAGCTCCAACAAAACCCTAAGAATCCTCCAAATTGCGTGACGATCCTAAAATTTGATCGAGGATCATAAGACGTGATCATTGACCTAACTACGTCGTATCTAAAGATGGAGAGAGAGAAATGTGGGAAAGAAAAGAGAGAAAAAGGGGGAAAGAGACGGTGGACTGATAAGATTGGCCTTTGCTTTTGTGAGTCCAGCCGTGTCTGCTTATGTTTGCTTGTGTGTGTGTGTGAGAGAGAGAGTGTTTAGAGAGAGAAAGAGTGGGGCTGTGGTCTTCTTTTACTAATAAACTCCAGCTCTCGTAGTAAGCTTAAGTAAAAATTCAACCGAAAACCAAAAAATTTAATGCTGTTTTTGATCGAAAATAGTGTTGTTTACTGTACGGCTCTGGACTGATTTAGAAAGAGAAGGAAAAAAAAGAAAGAGTTTTTTTTTACTAGTACTTTTTATGATTCTACAGAAATGGAGAGCGTCAAACGCGGCTTATGCCTTGGCACTGTCTCGTCTAAATCACAATAAATGCGTAGTAGGAATTTGTGGAACACGTGAAATTTTTGGATTTGTTACTTCCTTTTGCTTTACATTCATTCTCTCTGGTTTTTTGGGGCTTCTTTTTTATTTTTATTTTTTTTGGCTTTTTCAATTGGGAAATTAGTACTAATTGGGTAGGCACAAATGACTCATCAAAAGTGTTTGGTTTTTGGGCAGGTGCTCTCAGGCTCAGCCAGTGTCACACCGTAATAAACTTTAATTATGGGCTTCAAGATTCTCGACAAGTGTTTTAAGCAATTATGAAAATTGATTTTGATTACTATAAAATCACAAAATTACCATTTGTAATTTTATAGAGTTAAAACGTTTGTAGAAAGTGTTAGTGTAAATGATAAAAATAAATATATTATAATTTATAGATTATAATATAAAGTCTGTAGACTATTTTTTTGGTACATTGTCAACCATTTCATGTAGAAAGCATGCCTTACTACTATGTAGACATTCTCAATAAGTTTTTTTTTTGTTTCTAAATACTCGTGTTGCTTTGGGTTTATGTCGTTGGTCGTGGTTTTAAAGTTCAAAGTCCCACCTAAATGTCTGCCTGTCACAATTGACTTCCATTGAATCTCCCCTTTATATAAAAAAAAACTTAAAGTCCCTTTATTTTATGCTAATCTGTGGAATGGACACGTGCAAAAGGAAATTGTATTAGTGTAGCACTGAAATTTGAGGATCAACGCCAAGGCTGGAATTCGTTAATGGATTTATCAAAGGGTAATGAAAGGCGGATTATCCCTGTTTACTGCTTTATTTTATTTGGTGATGAATGAATTATACAATACAAGCCCAATGATAGTCGTCCATAATAAACGGCCTATACCGAATTTGTACTACATTTGGAATGATCAAATCTGATCAGAACTTGTGAACTCCCGTTTCCTACAATTAGTGGAGAGTCAGTCAATTGACCAAGCGAATCCATCTTTTCCCATATTCTTTACACTGTGTTAAGTCATTTATGCATTTCCTGTGCATTCCACTGGTTAGTTAATAATATAAAATCTCATTTTTATTTTATTACAAGAAATAAATACATCAAACATGTTGCCTGATTTTTCCCCGTTTTCTTTTTTTTGTGTTTTTTTTTTTGTTAAAAGAAAACTCCTTTTTTTGTGGTGAGAAGAAGCTTTCAATTTTAGTGTATCCATCAACTAGATGTTAAACCCGCGCGATGCGCGTGATTTATTTATATACATTATAAAAAATCAAAACAAATGTAAAATGTATTTGGAGTCCATATTAAGATATATTACATAACTAAAATTAAATAAATATGTAATTGTAAAGATAAAATAATGCATATCATTTGAAATGCAAGTGTTCAGTTGATTGGAGGAGAAGAAATGGACAATAAGACTCATAAGCAGAGTAAAAAGTAAATAAGATTGTATTAATGTTATATATGGAATGAAAAGACAAAATGATTGTACACGTAAAATATATAATGAAGTAATTATCAACAGTAGATGGTAGACTATGTGTGATTGAAGTGTGAAGTTTAAATTTTTATGGTTATTTTGTTGTAATTAAAGATTCTATGATACTATTTGGCCCGATACTTAATACTAAATTACTCTTCAGATTATAAGTGTGCATATTCATTAATTGGCCATTTGGCCTACATAATCTAATTAACTAACTAATATTTTCACATGGAAAAGTAGTTAAAAACTTAATGGGTACACAAATCTTTTTAGATTAGATGAGTGCGCCGTTGATATTATCGGAAATTACCTCTAGGTCGTCATAGTCACCTCCGAAGATTTATAATCTTTCATGTAGTCTTATCATGCAATTTATATCATATAATTAATTATGAATCCTCGAATTATTTATGATTTTGTTATCCCGTGGTAATAATTTTAACTTGAATGGCAAAATATTTATTAGTATCCAACTCTTCACTTGCATAAAGTAGATGCGTGATTAATCGTGATCATCATCATCCAAGATGGTGTTAATGAATTGATGATGGGAGATTATTTACGTGTTAATGTGGATTTTTCTTTCAAGATTATTTGTTTGAGTTTTGAATTAGACATTTATATTATTTACCCTTTCCATTTATATTTGAATGACAAAATAAGTAGTAATTGAAGATTTTGTGGATTGAGTTTATTGGAAATTAATTATTTTTATTTATTTATTATATTTATAAAAATATATACATGCATGTGTGTATATTAATAACCAGATATCATTATTATGATTCAAACCTTGTAATGGGTGCATGAGGCTATTTTTGGTTAATATACTTACTTTGTACGGGTGTAGGCATAAATTTTCAAACAATTTTCAAATTAATTTTTGAGAAATTACCATGTAGGATATTATTTCGTGACGGTCAATGTCTCAATCCAGTTGTGGTTGATACACTTACATTAAAATATGTTAATATTATAATAATAATAATAATAATAATAATAATAATAATAATAATAATATATTATTATTATTATATATACAACTGATGATCATCAAAGTTAGTTGATGTGATTTTATAGAGTTTAGATGATGTATAACTAATAAATAATAAATATTACATGAAAAGAGAAAAAATTTAATTAAATTCCTTTATCATCTTGGTTTCTTCACGTTCACAAATCACAACAACCTTTAACAGTAGATAATTTCTCTGTAAACCCTTTTTGTTATGACAATAGAAAACAATAACTAATGAAATTATAGAAACGGGCAAGGAACATAAATTTATTAACACCTAATAGAAACCCGAAAACATCGTTTTTCAAAAGAACATACGGGAAAAAAAAAAAGAGTCATATACAACCTTAATTAACCATTACCTTCGCGTGGCACATGATCAATCTTATTGTTCATCACTTTCAGAGCAACAAACCAACTGTAGAGTTAAAGTTTTTGCCCTTTAATCCCTTTTTGCTATGACAATAGAAAATAATAATTAATTAATGAAATTATTATGAAATTATGGGTAAAAAATATAAATTTAGCAACGTCTAAAAAAGAACCCTAAAACATCATTTTGCAAAAGAATATACTGAAAAAAAAAATCATATACAACCTTAGTTAACCATTACCTTCTCATGCCACGTGATCGACCCACTGTTAGTTCATCACTTTCAGAGCAACAAATTGTTTTTGTTCTTTCATCTTTGGATTTCGGGTTGTTTTGGTGAATTTTAACGATATATGCGACCTCCGACCTCCAACCCCCCAGCCTCCCGATGACCAACGCCGCCACGTTTTCATATGCTACAACCCAGACTCCAAACCTTTTCTCTTCTGGCACCCTCTTTCCTGGTATTCGCGAATGAAGAGGGATTCTTTTGCCAAGGGCCTCGTAGCTGCTTTGAGAGATCGCTCGCTGGATGTGGCAGTTAAGGTTAGGAGTTCTTTTAGTTTTTAGCTCTTTTAGTATTTGCTTTTTGTTTGCAGTCGTTTTTAATTATGACTTCGTAGGTGCGCAAAATTAGGGCCTTCATTGCTGACTTATTTGTTATAGGAGCCTTAAGGAATTTGATGTGGATGATTTCACTAATGATGTGCTTGAGGATGATATCCTTGAAGATATGGATGATTTCCTTGATAATGATGTGCAGATCAATGGGAAACCTTCTGTGCCGGTGTTGACTAAGTCCTTTGTGTGTTGTTGTATTCACTCTGACCAAAGCTGTGGTATCTGTGGACCATCTCTGATGGAGAAATTACAAGAAGGGATCCTTTTGTGGCAGCAAACTCTCATGATCAAGGCCAAGTGCATGCTGGTAATGTGATCATCTTTTGCACAAATGCCGAAAGGGAGATCGCAGGACAATTGTAATATTTATATTGTAGGAGTATATGATTTTTTCTTTTGGCAGTCAAATGTGTTCTGTTAACTTCTTTTGACAAGATGTAGTGTTTAAAACTTAAGCGTATTCGTGACAAGGTATATGTCTGTAATGTGGATCCTTTACTACTGTTGCAGGGATGGATTTCTCACAACCAGCGATTTCTCTACAATGCTTCCCCACATTGGAAATGGAGAACTCATTGAAAAGATTTTGAGGTTTGTCTCTGATTTGCTCATAATGAATCTTTTTAATGACCAATGTGCTTTACAAGATTGTTATTGCATCTGTGTTGCATGTGTCATTGTTGTTTTTCCTTTTTGAATGTTTTTTCCTTCATGAGGCTATGCATCTATTAAGCATCCTTAGGAAAGTTATGGGGCCAAATGGGCCAAGGGTGTGCTAATGAAGTCCATTTTGTGGATGTAGTACATTCAAAAAGAAACAAAGAGCAAGGATTCTCACAAACCTTATTGGAAAATGGGAGCGGCATGATATTCTGGCAACCGTTGCTATTGTTGTTAGAGCCACTGCTTTTGTTTCCCATAGCGCCTCACGGAAAACTGTTTCTTGAGAGGCTGAGATGGTACTACGGG